TGACCAAGCCTCACAGCGTTCCTTGTCACTGCAGGTCAACTCGCCCGTCGTCTAACTCAGGATCCGGTAAGCCATCAGTACACCCTCCTTGGTCTCTCACAATTCTAATGCACCATCATGACGTACTGTGACCGTAACCGACCTCTCCTGTTATGTTTCTTGGAGTTGATTGTCGTATTTAACGGAAGCGCAGTGAACCATCGCCGCGGTATTTCGGTAATTGGACGAGGTAGATGTAGTGTATGTAGCCGTAACAATACTCTTTGGTTGCTACAAATAAATGTGATGTGAACGCCGCTGGAACCGCCATCGGTTCCATCCTTCGGGATGGGACCGTTTCTGGACCAGCGGGGTGACATCACCTTTGCAAGAAAGGTACTGGACTAACATTTCATTGACTGAGAGTAGGTCGGAGCATTACGTCTAGTGCTGCATTGGAGCTGCGAATGGAGACATATTTTCATTGCCCTGGAGCAGCAAAACATGGTCGTCGGTGGCTGCGCATATGCAGCGATGATCACCGTCTCATCATTGCATCAATGTAAAAGCGTTTGGCCCTGCGACACCGGCCCGTGTACAGCGCCAGCCAGCCATCTACCGCCGCAGGCCAAGTAGAGCCGCTGTGCCATAACTGTGCTGCTTTTCAGCCAAATGTCGTTTGGCGCTGCGAGATTTACCCGTGTGCAGCGCCAGCCAGTCATCTACCGCCACAGGCCAGGCAGAGACGCTGTGCCATAACTATTCCGATTTTCAGCAAATGGCGTTATTGGTAAAAAATGTGCAAAATCGCGACATGAAATCAACAAGCGTTGCTAAACTTATGACACTTTTTTTGCTGGCCCAGACCAAAATATTTGCGCAGATTTCTTATTGCCTCCGATAGGCTGATTTAACCTTCCTGTGTACAGCACCTCTCGAAACCGTACCTGTACAGCACCCCTCGAAAACGTACCGGTACAGCACCCCTCGAAAACGTACCGGTACAGCACACCTCGAAAACGTACCTGTACAGCACCCCTCGAAAACGTACCTGTACAGCACCCTTCGAAAACGTACCTGTGCAGCATCCTCGAAAACGGACCTGTGCAGCATCCTCGAAATCGGGCCTGTGCGGCACCCCTTGAAAACGTACCCGTACAGCACCTGTCCAAAACGTACCTGTATAGCACCCCTCGAAAACGTACCTGTGCAGCACCCCTCCAAAACGTACCGGTACAGCACCCCTCGAAAACGTACCTGTACAGCACCTATCGAAAACGTACCTGTGCAGCATCGTCGAAAACGGACCTGTGCGGCACCCCTTGAAAACGTACACCCCTCCAAAACGTACTGGTACAGCACCCTCGAAAACGTCCTGGCATGAGTCTAAAACACCACCCTGGAAATTGGTTGGCAGTCGGTTTTTGTGCCGTATTCACCCTAGGCCTAAAAATGGCTAGAGCGCAGATGTCCCACGATCATGTACGCCGTATTCATTTGCTTGCTTTAAACTTGGATGTAGTATATACACCAGCGATTCCCATACGTATGAGGCCTCTGACGTATTGCACATGCTCCGTTACAGGTACGTAATAAAATTAAAGTTAAAAATACTGCTCATGCGCCTCTAATGGGACATGGCAAATTTTTTATTTTGCGCACTGATAAATTATGGGCTGGGCGCTGCCGTCGGCAAAATTTTGGTGAGAAATTGCCCACAGCAATGTCGCAAATCCAGCGCGTATAGGGGTGCCGCCGTGTAAATCGGCTCAAAACGTTTCGTTCCACCGGAAATTGCGAGTGGGTAAAACGGGACATTCCGATACGTTTTGGGGCATGCTCCGCAGTCAGTACCAAAAACGCATATTCGTCGAATGCAGCCCGTACCAACCGTATTTTGTCACTACGTACCTGCACTGACACATGCCCAAAACGTACTGGAATCCCGGAACTGACGGAAGTACTAGTCATAGGGCGAGCGTCAGGGGAGAGAGACGGGACGCGTTGGCACGAGGTTGTCGGTGGTGGTTGGTTTTTGTTGATGGGTGGTTGGTTTTTGTTAATGGTAAGATTGATGCCGGGCACCGGGGCTGTTTACTTGTAGACATTTATAGTACTCTAGAACTCCAGGAGATACTTACCAAATAAACTAAAAGTGCCACTACGCTACCAAAAGGAGGGTTGCTACCCAGGAAGCCTTTCAAACGTACCTAATAAAGCAGTTTTTAAAGCTAGGTAACATATTCCATAAGGGAATAGTACACCTGAGGCCTAAAACGGCAAAAGTGAGTGGTAGGTGACAAAAAGGTGTAGGCTACAGCTAATTTGGAGGCTAAAGTACGAATCAGGCAACATAATATTATAGGTAGTCCCAATCTAAACACAATTCACTTTAACACGTACAAGTATCACAGGTTCCTGACGAGAGACTCCAGTTTTCCATCGTGATTTTGTTCAGCCTTTGGAAGCAGCCTTGGGTCGCAGCCTTTTTGTGACACATCGTGACCACAGTATCGTTCTGTGTGTGGAGCCACTGGTAAAAGAGTGCATCCAACTACGAACAGCATTGTATCTGGCTAGGGGCCCACTATGAAGGACAGTAAAAGAGTGCATCCAACTTCCGTACGATAGTGCTCTGTAGGGAAGGGCAGCAAAAGAGTGCATCCACAGCAGAACTAGTAATCCGTCACCAAGAAATGCAGTACAGTGGTTTCGCGATAACGGGGTCCTCGATAAGCGAATATTCGCTATATGCGCATACACATCTTTGCCACCGAGTTGGGAGACACGATTCTCCTGCTTCTATGATATCTCTGTGAATACTCAATAAGTGCATAACAATAGTGACACAATTATCATATTGGTTCACAAAATGGACTATCTATGTAACATTCTTTAGTATGACAACTGTGGACTGTAATCAATTTTTGGCGCACCAAAACCGAAACAGATTCTGCTGCACGCCACTTATCTTCCCGCCGAAACTAACCGGCGACTTTACACAAGAGGGCATAAATCGAGGCCACACTTGTGTTGACTGCCCTGCATACCAAACCGCACCGCACCATACCACCATGTCAACTGTTCAAGATGCCCGGCGCAGCTGCACTCCAACAGTTTTGCAGAAGCAACAAATTGTGGACGAAAAAGAACGCCGCGTCTCAGGCAGTCAACCCTTCGATCACGCCGCATTGGCAGCATGGGCGTGCAAAACATTCCGCCTATTGCGTCCACCTAGTCAATCATCCATGTCCCGCCTCCTCCGCAGTGTCTACAAACCTTCGCTTTTTCCGTCCGGGATTCACAAGAGAAACCGCCTTGGGGAGTGTAAGGAGCTAGAGTCTGCTTTGTACTCGTGGGTAAACGCACAGTTTTCCAATCGTCGATGTATCAACGGCGAATTAATTCGACGTCAAGCCGCGCGGTTACAGTCCAAGATGAATTCCCAACTCCCACCCCAGCAGCGAAAACATCTTCGCTTCAGCTCTGGATGGCTCAACAACTTCCAGCTTTGCTTCGACCTAAAGTCTCTGAAGTGTCACGGCGAGAGTGGCGACGCAAACCAGTCTGCAATTGACAAGGCTGTGCCTGATATTCGCAAGATACTCCAGGTTTACAAGCCGGAAGACATATTAAATGTTGATGAGTTCGGACACTACTACTCTATGGCACCCGACCGCACGATTGCAGCTCAAAGACTTCCTAGGCGCAAGAAGGAGAAACGAGACTAACCTACCTTGCTTGCTGTAACGCAAATGGTACGGAAAAAGTACCGCTCATGGGAATTGGCAGGGCCTACAAACCGAGGTGCTACAAGAAGAAAACCGGGCAAGAACTTGGCTTTGATTATCACAGCAACTGCAAGGCGTGAATGACGACAGATCTTTATGTTAGATGGCTACTTCAGTTCTCATCCTACGTGAATCGAACAGGCTCTAATCGAAACGTTGTCTTGCTTCTTGATAACTGTTCTGCCCATGGACATGTTGACTAAATTAGTTCGTTAGAGAACGTAGAGATTGTGTTTCTTCCCTTCAATACCACGTCAAAGTTGCAACCTATGGATGCCTGAATTATTGCAGCTCTTAAGGTGAGGTACTGGCGACTACAGTACGAGCATGCTTTGGACCGTGTGGATGCTGGTGTCGCGGAAATTTATAAAGTGGACCAATTAACGGTGATGAGGTGGATGCCGACCATATGGGATCAACTTCCGAAAAGTGTTATGGCCAATTGTTGGAACCACACGGATCTAATGGATGGGAATTGTCTAGACCCAGGAAGATCTGAGAATGAGAAGGTGGCGGAAATACGGGCTGCTCTATCTAGTCTGCTGCCTAACAATGTGAGAGCGAACATGTCCGTTGGTTCTATTCTCAATCCGGTCAGGGAAGATGACTGGTTTGAGGACATTGATGAAGACAATTTGGCAGAAGAAGCCGCCGTAGGCATCCGCGGAAATACAGAAGCGACAGAGCATACAGATGACGAGGTTTCATATCTTGACGAGATGAAGTTTGAGGAAAAATTGCGGGCCGTGGTTGTTGTTCGCCATCTGCTCGAGAGTCATGATGCCATAGACCCTCTAATTATCAATGCCCAGCGGTCTACTCAGAGACAGTTGAAGCGCGAGCGGTCGCAGGCATTGCGCCAGACCAGAATTACCAGCTTTTTTGAATAAATGTTTTGACGGTTAGGATTGTTTCAAATATGGGCTCCGTATGTAACAATTTGATAAGCGAATAATCACGATAAGCACATACAGACCTCATCCACGCCCAATATGTGCTTATCGCGAAACCACTGTACCCTTCTCAATGGCTATATTTGGGCCATCTAACAATAATTTAAAGAAGAATTCACTTTACGCTTCCCATTTCAATTTGCAAATCTTCTCGAAAGAATCAGCTTCAAACTTTGATTGCATCAGTATGCTGGGCACCGTCTCAGGCAAATGAGGACTCACTGTACCTCCTGATCTCTCTCTGTCACCAACGAGTACCTTCATGTGTGTGTGGGGGTTATTTGGGCCCCCGAGCTGTTTCGCTCCCAACTTCAACGGCGTCATGAACAGCTCCCAAAACAAGCTCCGCCGCAAACTGCAACGATGATATGGGGGGTTTCTTGCGTTTGCTGCTATTTTTGGGGACTTGTGTGGCGTCCTGCACTCGTGCTTTTGCTAAATGCTGCGCTATACGTCTTGCTTCTCCCCGTAGATCTTTAGCGTTTGTGGTCGGCGGCTTGTCGCCGCATTGACAGAGGCATGACAGTCTCGAGACAGTTTGGATAATTGTTTGCTGACTGCCCGTAAGTGCGATGGACATATTGTTCCTAGAGCAACGATATCTGCATATGAGAGCCATGACTTTTAATACAGAGAGCACGGGGCTTGCAACGTATGGGATGAAAAGGGTGTTTCGGTTACGAGATAAGTGGCGGGAAACCGTCCCAAATATTCCCTTGTCTAAAATAAAGCCTTTGAGAAGGGTAGTCCACAACTATATCAGGTTGAGATTGTTTGACCTTTAGAATGTTCTGTTTACCTGTGCCACTATGTTCTCCCGCATTCTACTTTGCTTTTGCGTTCTACTATGCCTCATCGAACTGATCTTTGCAGCAGTCGTCTCTTCCCCCGTCCTAATCATAGGGGCAGGGACAGCTGGTGCCACAGTCGCACTCGAACTTTCAAAACAATCAATTCCTTTCATTCTTTTCGAAGCCACAGACCGTGTCGGCGGTCGCCTGCGTCGTGAACCGCTGGGCGGAGGGCTCTCAGTTGAGTTAGGAGGCATGTCTCTTCAAGGATTTCGCCGGGGTGTCCCCTTCCACGATTTCGTCCGGAAGTTCGTGGGTCTCAAAGCTGTTGCAGCGGACTATGACGACGTTTACTTCGTCTCCAATGGCACCCTAGTGCCCGACAAGATTGCTGATCAGGCATGGACCCTATCTGAAAAGGCTTTGGCCAGTGCCTACAGGCTCCAAGGAAAATATGACATGGATATTCGTTCTGCTGTTGAGTTTTCTGGTATCGATATTCGGAGCCCGATAGAGACTGCTGCCTGGCGTTTCGAGATTGATTTCGAGTATGCTGTGGGTGCCGAGGCGGTCAGCCTTAATGGTTTGTCACCTATCTTTGCTCCGGATGCTCCGAGGTCTCGAGACAGGTTTGTGACGGATCAGAGAGGCTATGGCTATGCTGTCGAGGTCATTCTACAAATGGCAGGGGTGAAGGACACAACCAGGTCCAATGATAAGCTTCGCTTGAACACACCGGTGGACACTGTGCGATACTCTGAAGAAAGTGCACAAGTTGTGTTGCGCAACGGTGAGATATACAATGGTTCGGCTGTGGTTTCAACAGTATCAGCCGGTGTTTTAAAAGAAGCTCTTCTCCGTGAGCCGCCGTCAGCCAGTCGATTGAACTTCGATCCCCCATTAAGAAGGCGTAAACGCCTCGCAATTGCCAAGATCGTCATGGGTGATTACATGAAGATTTTCGTACAGTTCAAAGAGCCTGTGTTCACCGACGAAGACCCATTGTTCCTCATTCCACTCTCGTGTGACATAGATGGCTTTCTGAAAGTGCAAAATCTCAATAAGCGCGGTTACTTCCCAGCGGAAAATATTGTCTTGGTGACTTCAACAGATGAATATAGTCGTGAGCTCGAGTGCGAAAGCAAGGAAAAGGTGTTGAGAGATGTTTTACATTATCTCTCGGCGGCCGCGGGAAAGGTGTTGAGCGAAAGTGACGTGATTGGTCTCGTTGCTTCCAATTTTCGACGCAAACCGTTCTTCAAAGGCTCTTTTTCTGTCCGTGCACCATCAGTGACCGATGACGATATCAAACAGTTTAACAAGCCAGTGAATTCTTTGTTCTTCGCGGGTGAGGCCCACCGGATGGGAGAAGGCTTGAACGGGTATGTCCATGGAGCATGGGATAGTGCCGTGGATACCACTAAGCAGTTAATTGAATTCGTGGCCAACAGAAAATAATCACTGCAAATCGGGACAAATGTCCTGTAATGAACTGGGAATGTGATACTGTAGCAAGAAACTGAGAATTACTGCAAGGAGCGGGAGGAAACGCGTTATGGAGATAAACATAAAGGTCGTAGAGATGGAGGTAGTAACGGCAGGTTTCGTAGACGACAGCTCGACGTGTTTTGGATGTGCGCTCATTTTTCCAAGAGGGTTCCATGGTAGCCTGTCCTGGTGCTGAAGGGAGCTGACTTTATTGATTAGATGAGAATCTCGGGCGTTCAATGGAGCATTCAATTCTGTAGCACCCAGCGATGACAAGATGCAATATTGAATCATCGTCCTGTACAGATGTTGCACTGTGCTGTACCATGATCTGTTTGCATATCGTTTGATTTCCAGAGTGGCCATCACTGGCATGCAATCATGGCCCAAATCTCGACGAACGAGACTCGACAAATTTGCATGGGAAATTGTCCGCGAACTGAACTATGATCTCATTGCCGACCTGCCAAGATGCAGCACCCTGAGTACAGTGAATGTGTTCCAGACAATAAGATCTGCTAAAGTCCTGCGTGTCCGTGTACTGGGGGAACCCCAAACTTTGCTCACTCTTCACAACTTCAAACAGGACCTCCGGTTCATAAACGTGTCCGCATATGTGGCATCGCCGTTTCGTTCGATGCCCACCTGTACAGTACCCGTTTTCTCTGCGGGCGCTGGAGCCGGTTAAGCCCTATGACTCCCTCCGCGTTTAATTCACACACTTCATTAGTTTCGCAGATCATTCCGCACATGCGTCATATTCTCCCTTCCCTGTCGGCTCATATCAGCAACCCCATGCATTCCAGTACGAATACAGAGCCCCGTATCAGTTGGCACCTTTATGCCACCATACTGGTCTTCCGGAAGCTCGTCCCCAGCGAGGCCGACTTTGTCGAGCACCCATCGTCTCGCATTCAGGTAGGCATCAAAACCTTAGCAAGTTGCGTGGTGGTGCCGTTGGGCAGAAACACTGCCGAGTACTGCGCATGTGAGGAAGAGCGCATGTTTGCGCATGGAGAACAAGAGTTTCAGAAGATTCGCTAGGAGCGCATTTTTGTTGTGTAATTTGAACTCCAGCTCGCCAATTTGTCCTGACGGGCTTGTCCGATAAATCGACTTTAATAAAAAGCCACCATCAGGATAATGCCAGTTGTCATCGTCATGGTTGTATATGGCGGTATTTCTATGATCTCGACAATAGGGAGACTGTGCGCGCGATAAGCCACATCGCACACTTCAAGTTCTTATTGTACGAGTTCGACCCCAATTTGTCTTTCCTGGATTCCAACACCTCTGGGCTTGCGCGGATCCGGTCCCAATGGTATGAAATGACAACACGCGCGATGTCCAATAACGCTTCCTCATAATAGCATTTCAGCTCCTCCATGCTGATTAAACGCACGGCGGCTTCAACGTCATCTGCCTTGCCAAATTCAACAAGGAATTGTGTCAGGCATGAGTAGTAATATTCGAGAAGAACATCTTCACCGTTCCCATCAGGCGTTAAAAGACTGGGTCCTGCAGATGCCGCAATCAAATAGCATACGTCAACTGCCGGATGTCCCCATCCACACCACTGAAAATCAATAATGCCAACTTCCCAAGCCTCACCATCGGAGCTCTTCCCAGTTTCAGCACGCCGCGTAGACGGTGATTTACTGGGCCTGTAAAAGAAGTTTGCCGCCTTTGCATCACCGTGAATGATTGTTCTGTGACTATGTTCCTCATTCAGACCAACTCCGTGCACTTTGTCTGCAGACAGCGGTGCACGCGTCTCCAAAAGATGCCCAAGATTTTTCAGTGTCTCGTTCTGATCAGGATCAAGGCCGGCCTCTCGTAGAGAATCAGCAAAACTGTGGAGGTAATTTTCCCAACAGGAAGGGAGCTTGCGAAAGCTATCAGGCGCTTGTCTACATGGAACCCAATAAGTTGCTTGATCCCAAACAGCCTCACACAATGTTTCATAGAGGGGTTCATCGCGGCATTGCCAGAAGAAAGCATGCATACATGCGAGTGAATGTAGAGTACACCGCATTTTGTCTTTGTCTAGAAGACCAACTTGTTTCCAGCTTCTCTCTGGACTGAAATCTTCAAGTATAATTAAAAATCTACTTTCAATGGGCAGTTTGGACGGACGCGAGTCAGTGAAGTAGGACTTCGGTACTTTGATCCCGGCATTCCGAAGATGATTGCAAGCTTCCAAGGATAGAAAGGCTGCCTCTACTTGGTAAGAGGAAACGTCACGAGCTAGCTTTTGCGGCGCTGTGCGTGCTTTCAACTTGACATGCTCGAGATGCTTCATGACAATCCTTTTCAAAAATACACTTTCTGGGCCTGTGGGTTCTTGATCTTCGTAATAAAGCTGCAAACGACATGCATCAGACATTAAATATCGCACTGCTGTGGAATCGTCAGCCGTGAAGGCCAAGACCGATTGACTGAGCTTGGTAGATAGCCACGAAGCCGTGATCGGATTACCGTCAAGATCCAATGCGATATCCGTGGCCTGAGGCTTTCGATTCAATCTGAGACCTGTATCGCGTAACAACGGGTCTAAAGTCATGGAAGCGCGGAATAGCTGGCACATCTCTTTGTGTGTCCTCCCATCTGAATCAAAGTGCGCAAACGTCTTAGCTGAAGCCATGACGCCGTATTGATTCTGGATCCTACTGTTAGCGTAATGTGGGATTGGGTTGCCGAACAAATCCGTGACGCAACCTCCTAATGCATTAATAATGGCTGTGGGCGCTGCGCTGTCCCACAAACTTGTTGAAAAATTGAGGATCGCTATGTCTGCGTTTCCGTTCGCAACTTGAAGCACTTTGTTCCCGGCTCCACCTAGATGCAACAAATGTGCGGGGCTGAGCATGTCGATCACTTCCTTGATGAGGGGCTTCGATGACGACCGGGAACATGTAACAATGGCCCCAGAATTCTTTGCGCGAGGTTCATCTATGGGAAGCAAGTTAACGACGCCGGCGCCGACAAGCCCATATATTGGTTCTTCCGTGACAAACGGTTGTCCTATCACTCCGGCGATCGGTGTTCCGTTAACGCTAATCCCTATCAAAGATTGCACGGCATCGAGGCGACCCTCCACAAACTCGAAGGTGCCATCCAGCGGATCACAGAATACACATACATCCTCTATCGGCACAGACTTGCACGTGTCTGGTGCCACGATTTTATCGCATGTCAATTTCAAAGGTGGAAGACTTGCTGGGTGGGGCTTCATGTCCGGATGAAGATCCTCTTCTCCGATGATGGTAAGGTTCGGAAATTGTCGTAAAAGAGGAGCAACAACAACTGACTGCGCCATAACATCGGCAATCGTCAGGGCCGATCGAGGGTCGGATACATCTTTGTATGTCTCTTCAAGTGATCCCCCAGATTTGCGGGATTCCTCAACTTGCCGGATGACCGCACATGCACGCTTCGCGGCATCGACACAGGCTCCGAGAAGCTGACCAATATCAATCAATTCTCTTTTCGGCTGGGGGGAGGTCAAATGCTGGCATCGCGGAGCCATGGAAGGATAAGCGAGGGAGAGTCAGTTTCAACTTGCGAGGGATGGCGAAGGAGCTGCGCGAGTATCGCTGAAGGCTGGCTGGGACAGTGTTTTCCGATTTCAGGGGAAAAAATTCACCTCCCGTACGTCTCAATGAGGCCCCTGCTACACGTATCCTTCGGGGCGTCATCTTTGGTTGACAACGGAAAGCTATTGTATTCAAGGAAGAATATCCTTTTACACAGCGCAGTGAGAATGTCCGAGCACATGAACACCTGGATGTACACGGGATCGCTTAGATTATCGCCCAGAGTCGAACTGTACAGCCACCGCAATATCATCCTTTCTTATTCGTGCTACCCTTGCTTGCGTACAAGTCTTGAACGACATTGAGGGTTGCACTGGCAGAGCCTCTTCTGTTGTGGCTTACCAACTACACATGTATCACGTACAAACGAATTTTCTAGTCCTTCCTTTTGTCACTATGATACAACGAAACTCTTTTCTGTTTCTTTCACAACAAGTGTCGCCAATCTCGTCTCCTTGTACGTAATGATAAGAGCCTATTCTTATTTCGCAGAAGAAAAGTCGGCTTCTATTAACGTCAGTTTTTCCTCGAAAGTTTGCTCCTCTGTAGGGGTTTTATCATGGCTATGCCTTCGCGATTCTCCCATGAACAGCCATGCCCAACTGGCATCGTTACAAGCAGTAAGAATCGTTCGGATAAGGATCTCAAACCGAAAGGTCCTGCAAATCAACCATTACTTCTCTCTATTAATCCCCTACATTCCTAGTACAGAAGTCAGTAACACTCTTAAAACAGGTTCGATTAATCTATGACACTCGAAATCGCAGGCAAGTAGACTATGTGTATGCAATTTATGTCATGGAGGTGATGAAGAAAAGACTAGACAGGTGCCGAGCATCATTTGAGGATAATCATAAAGCGTAAGCCCTGTACTATACCCTGAAAAAAATCCTGACCGCCACCTTTTTAGACGCAACAATATTCTGAATGAAAAAGGGAAAAGGCAAAAACACGCAAACTCATCAAAAAGAGACAAGTCCTGTGTTCGAAAAAGATATTTGAGGGAGACATATACACATAGAATATTTATTAATGAGAATTACGTTTTGCGTAAACAGAATGACATCATGCTTTCAATAAAGCGTCGTTATTCGTGGAGTGTCGAATGATATGCCCAGTTGTGTTCGAAACTGTCGGGGTGAGAAAGTGAATACTGTAACAGCATGCGAGTATTCTCTCATGAAAGTCTGTTCAATGAAAAATTATATTGGTCTTCCAAACCTTTCCCATCACAGACGCACTTAATAAAGAACGAACTCAGAGAAAAAGACGAAATGGCGAGCAGACACTATCCGTGAAGATGAATCCTTTTGAATTCATTATAATTTACTAAACCTGGACGGAGGCCAGGCCTCAGGTATAAAATGGCGCACATTCAGCAATTCAAAATATGATACAGGAAACATCATGCTGAACAGTTATATTGAAATGTACGCTCCATGCCGCATCTGTGAGAAAATCTTGTGTTACTCATTAAATTCATTCAGTTCTTCACTGACAGCAACAAGTGAGAGTAAATCCATGTACAAAGGAGTGGAGGAAAAAGCTTCAGTGACTGTTGTCCAAAACCAGGAAAGACAATTGCATATGAGAAAGCCTGTCGAGAGCTTTGCTCTGGCAATCATACCGGAGCAATCCTAAGGATTTAGATATGTGCGAGCGAACTTTCAAGATTGGCAAGGCCGTATTAGTTTCTGTTTTGATTGTTCATCTTCACTTGCATATAGTTGGCGTCCATGGCGCGACGCCGAGGACAGATTCGCGATCGATTTATGACGGCGGTGATGGCTTTTCAAATAATCTTGCTGGGAGCTTGCTGACAAATGATTCTATTACTGGGGCTGTTGGTACTGCTGTGGACTCGAATGGAGACGTATACGTAACTGGGAATATTGAGGCAACCGGGACAGGGGAAAATGAGCATAGCTTTGCAAAAGATGAAATTGAGGATCGCCTCGGCGGGCAAGACGTTTTCGTGCTGAAATTGGCTTTCAACAGGACACTTCTTTGGAGCAAACGACTTGGTTCACAGGGCACTGACTTGGCTCATGCTATTGCCGTTGATGGCGAGGGTCATGTCTATGTTACAGCAACGACAGGAAGAAACTCTGCGAACGTTAAAGCCGGACCGATTGTTGTAAAGTACGGCAACAATGGGACAAGAATTTGGATGAGAAACTATGGAAGCAAACTGGCAGGAGATAAACTCAATGCAATTGCAACGAACCAAAATTCATCCGAACTTATAATTACTGGCGCAATTGGAGCCCAATCACCACTTCACACGAACGCTACGAAGCGCGATGTTGATGCAGTGGTCATTTTAAGATTAGGTTCTAGGGAAGGTGATATTCGCGGCCTGGCAGTTGCGGATATGTTCGACAACTCCGTTGGAGCAGCCGGAAACGCTCTGGCTGTGAAAATAGAAAACGGAACTGGGAAATGTTACGTTGCAGGAACATCAATTATTCAGTTAGGGGGTTCCAGGATTCAGAATGCAGCAGTCTATTCATTCACGTACCCCGAATTGGAAAGGCTGTCGAAAACGCAAATATTGTCGCAAATAGATGAGATATTTGTTGGAGTAGCAACTTCAAAAAATCCATATTCTGTTTATGCAGTTGGTATGGCGGATGTAAGCATCTATTCAGAGCTAGACGGGAAAGTTGCGAGGTTTAACAGTAGCAACTTGGCGTTGGGGTGGAACAAGACGATAGAGACCGTCACATTTCCAGATCAAGCGAGTATTTCAACGGGTCTGGCCTCGGAAGCAGCTCGGGGTGTAGCGGTGGACGAATTTGGGAATGTTTACGTGATACTCGAAGCGGGGAGTGCCCTCACGGACGCGAACGAACAGGCGAAGCTGGAGAACAAACGACCAGCGATAAAAATATACGCACCAAATGGAACGGAGATGTTCACCTTTCAGTCAAATATTTCAGTGTCAACGGGAGTTGAGGCTATCCAGGTTTACAACAGAACGGCTCTAGTGAGCGGGTGGACTCTGGATTCCGAGAGCAGAGTCGCCAAGCTATATCTGTCCACATTGAATCTTCCCGCGGAACTATATCTTAACAACAGTTCTGAGTACGAACCGCCATCAGCGAATCTCGAGGGGGGACCATCGGCAAATCAGCCGGCTGACGACAGCTCACCAAGGATTGGATTAATCGCGGGAGCAACAGGAGGAGCCGTCGGGTTACTGGTTGTAGTCGCAATTGTAATTGCGCTCTTCATGAGAGGACGAAGCGGAAGCTAGTGTTTCGAGGACCCCAAACGGAAATAAATTGCTACCCTCGTTGTAGTAATGTTTTCCGGACTGAGCGGATGCAATAGTGTGCCCGGAGTCATTAGAAGGACTACGATGGTATAGATGGCGGCATATTGTGTTTCAGGGGCAATTGGCCAGCTAGGGATCGAGGAAGAGGTCTCAGCTGAGGCTGGGAAAAGTAGAAAGGATTCAGGGGGAGGATGGACGGAATTGGGATAAGCGATAGGCCTAGCGTTGGAATTTTGGGGGTACCCAAATTGCCCCATTACCCAAATTATGCCGATGAGAAGGGTACTGTATGTACAGTAGTTCGCGACAGCTTCTTATCGGACTGGGGCCTGCCCCATGTGAGGACAGCCCTAATGTTTGCATATACAGGGGGGTCTCCTCAATAGTTCGCTTTACAACAGTGCACATGGCAACAGTGCACACGGCCAAATGTGCACCCCTTTCAGCGATGTCACAACTCTTGCCACGTGTTCACCTGTGCACGTGGAGCCATGCCGATGTAGATGCACACCGCTGCGCTGCGGTTGACCACGACCGAACACCCCGACCACCGATGGCGACCACCGCGACCACCGACCTATCACCAAAAAGCGAGAAGCGACGTCAAATGCTCATATCGGAGCATTTGGTGGCCGGTGGGCTGTGACCTGTGGATGGACCTTTATTAGTTCGCGCTGTCAGTAGTGCGTCTCTATAGCTGATGGCACGAGGGTGCACTATTGAGGGGTACCTACTGTATATTATATTTTTGAAAATTTACATATTATATATTTAATTGACAATTTAGAAATGCATTTTGACAACAATTACCTGGACGTACTTGTCCTCGCCAATTACATATTGCAGAACACCAGGAAGACAATTATCGAATACATTGAAAGAGTTAGAATGAAATGCGGATTAAAATACACAGCTGGCTTTTTATCTGGCGTTTTTGGTTGCGATGCAAATACAAATGCGGTTTTAAGGTTGCTTAAAAAAGCTTCTTTTTCGGGCATTTCTAAAAACAGCCGGAAAGGATACGTGGTTCTCGCAAATCTCTTCCCTTCCACGGCGGAGAAGTCGGGTACGGTGAGGAGGGTTACCTTCCTCCTTCTTGTCAAGAGAGCAAAAGTCTAGAAAAAATGAGTTGAAAATTGACCTCATGTGAAGACGACGGTCAGATAGGCACTCTTGATATGCAGAGACGGCGAGAGCTAGAGCTGAAGGCCAGAAAACGGAAGTATCATACTGACGAGTCCTGCAGCACGGGAAAGAATTTGAGTGTCTGCGGGGCAGTTGAGCGGGCACTTGTTGAATGGGTTTAAGTGGACAGGACGGGTCACAGCGGCGGGTTGCACACAATCAGCCACCCAATAAAAAATCTTGACATTTGTTCCATTAAAATATCCATCTGTCTGTGCGTTCTCATACCGTACTGTATCGACTACCCAAGGGTACCGTATCTGCTTGAGATTTACCTCCGCATCAACTATCGCGCTAGTTGCTTTGTGCCGTCCACCAGTTCCTGCGTCCGTTGTGACCATGACCACACCCTCGCTCAATCGGTCCTCCAGACCTCCGAAACTCGACCGCTTCACAACTTCGCTTTCTCCCGTCATGAAACAGACTACACTGACCTTTCTTACTCCTATCACCGCCTCACCTGCTTTCCCGAGCTCAACTATTCCATTTTCAGATCGAGCAAAGACTTCACTAGTTAGAACAGCACTGGTTTTTCACAAACGCCGTAGGGCATCCTCTGTTCGATCTTGCACAGAACCATCGAAGTCGAAAACGCAATATCTGTCCTCACAAGCTCCCGACCCTGCGCCGCTACGCGAGTCTAATGCATCACCGGAGAGCAATGGCGCTCCACAGCCCTCTGCATCCCCGTTGCATTCAAAAGATGAACATCCAAACATAGCGAAGGAGAAAGCTAGCGAGGAGCAAGAACCGAGTCTTCCATCGAATCCCATAGAGCTTTCCATTGGAAACTTCTCAACCTCAATACCTTCTCGCTGGCTCCTTTATTGCGTTCCATTTCTCTGGGGATCCTTTGGTCCAGCTGTGCGACTTTTATTTTCACAAGAGCCGCACCCTGATCCCTCCGTGTTCAACACGGAGCGCCTGGTTCTATCCACCCTTGTATATGTTCCTGTATTAGCAGCTGAATGGGCCGCTTTCCGCAACACTCAGGCATCCCCACCGACTGCAGAGCCGAAAAAGTCTTTCGCCTTCGTCAAGGCAGGCGCGGAATTAGGCGTATACGTTTTTCTGGCAAACGTAGCTCAAGTCATTGGGCTTCAACAGACCAGCGCGAGCCGGGCTGCCTTTCTTGTACAACTGCAAACAGTTATTGTACCCGTACTGGCGGGTGTTTTTGGGCTCGACAAGATCACCCCAAAGACTTGGCTCTCATCCTTAATCGCTGTCGGCGGGGTGGCCTTACTCAGTTCCGACAAGGGACATGGCACGGTCTCGTCTTTCACAGGAGATGCGCTTGAGGTGCTTTCTGCGTTCTTCTTCTCTACATATATCATTCGATTAAGCAAATATTGCAATGAAATCCCGGCAAACCCGCTCGTTGCAATGAAAATCGCTGTTCAGGCAGTCCTATCCATAGGATGGGCTCTGTCTGCCGAAATCGGTATCCTCTTTAACCACGGCCCCAACGATCTGTCTAAAGGAGATGAAGTTGCGGCTTGGACGCTCGGAGCTGTGTTGGTGAACGCTGGAGTTGTAGTGTGGACGGGGTTGTTCTCGTCGGCTCTATCAGGATGGGCTCAAACCAAAGGACAGCAAGGAGTTCCCGCTAGTGAGGCAGTTGTCATTTTTGCTACGCAGCCACTTTGGGCTAGCGGTGTCGCGGCAATTATTTTGGGGGAAAGTTTTGGGGCGAAGGGGTTCGCAGGTGGGGCTCTGATTGTTGCAGCCACGCTACTTGCTGCTTCATCCAACTCAAAAGAAGAAGAGAAAAAGGAGGCCTAGTTGGCCTAGTTTGCGTTGGCCTAGTTTGCGAGTTTGCAGTTCGCAAACCCTGAATGCTTATTAGCAGGAGCAAAGGTATCTCTCATTGATTTTCCTCACCCTATGTGTTTTGCCTATAGCTAGGCGCCAGGCATCACCGAATCGTCAAGAGCCGTCCTTTTGGAGCCATCGAGATATTTTTCTGCCACGAGGGCTTCCCCGTACAGTCGCACTTTAACGCATCAGATGAAATCTAGTGATGGACAGCCACCGGGGAGAAGGTTGTAATTTTTTCATTATCATCCATGCAATATAAAGTGCTGTTCTCCTCACGGCTCGTAAACCTAACAGCAGTCTGGAGGAGATTGGCAACGGATCGATTTTTGCTCAGTCCAGAGATGACGGTACCGGCCCGGGCTATCATGGTCAGGCTACGGCCCCTATTCTCGGGGTATGGGCGTAAGACGCATGATGGCTGACCACGAGAACCTACAGGTTCCTTGTGGTTAGCATCTGCGACGGTGATTATTTATTGGAACGCGACAGAGGAAGTTGAGAAGGAAAGGCAGCGAGGAAGCTCTGTACGACTTTTTATATGTAAATATATATATACAATATCGGTATGAAAGGTTGCGTAGGCCACTAACTCTTCTGTTTGTGAAACGACCCACACATACCCGTTTCAATGAGCGTACGTCCAGCTCACGCAGGTAGTCTGTGCGAATATCTGTCCAGGGCGGCTCACGTCAGTGTTCGGTAAGTATTACCTCGCGGTGAAAACTGTCTCTAGGTACTGAAACGTCCAGAGTGACGAGTAAGAAAGCTCGTGATCAAGGCTCTAGAGAGATTGCGGCGCCCACGACCCTATTCCTCGAGTCTCCCTCTAGCCAAGAACGCGAGACAGGATAGCATATACAAGGTAAATTTACTTGTCCACGAACTATTCGTCGCGATTGTCGGCGTTGAGATCTTCAAATTTATCTTTGGGAGCACCGCAGGCTGGACACACGAAGTCGTCGCCGTAAAACTTGAATTCTCTCCCTGCTGCCGGGAACAGAGTGTAGCCACAATCCGAGCACTGGTACGCATGTACTGCAGCTTTGGCCGGCTGAGCAGAACGAGCGGGATAGTCAAGCTCTGCTACATTCGGTTTGGACGCCTCTTCAGCCTCCGCAGCGGCAAGATCGGCGGCCTCCTTCTCTTTCCGGCGTATCCTTGCGAGGACGACTCCATCAAAAAGGGCCTTTGCGTCAGCGGGATCCAAGCGCAGGGCAGCTGCTGCTGCCATAGGTGGTTCGTCGACGTCGTTGGCATCGATCTGCTCATTGACAAACTCTCGATAGCATCGCTCCAGCATGTTTCGCTGAAGATCGGCAACGGTACCTGCGCTGTACGGAAAGAGCGGGATCAGGGATAGGCGTTGACTGTGGTCGACAGACACGATGCGTTCGGCGATGAATAGAAGCTTTCCAAGAAGACTGGGAGCGTCGTTCAGGGTTGCGGCAAGGGAATTGACGGTTTTGACGGCCTTGTCATCTGAGATTTTCAGCAAGGCTTTGATAATGGAAACGTCCTGGATAGTGGACGGGACGACGGTCTTCTCCGTAACGAGGTTGCGCAAGTAGCTCGCAAACATGGCGCCACGCAAAATACCGGGCCCCAATTTGCGCTTGTACTCAGAGGTGATTTCACGCTTAGTATCCGGGGTGTTGCCGTATAAGACGACAACTTGGCCGTACTCATCGACAAGGTCCTCCTGTCTGGCGACAAAACGCTTCTTCGCCAACCAGGCGACACCGACGAGGACGGCAGATGCGGCGACGTACGGGATGATGGACCAAAATCCGACGCGCTGTGGGGCCATGAGGTCGGAACGGCGTTGGGACGGGAGTGGCTGCTCGGTGTAGCGGTGGGAGGGGTCCTGGCCGTTTGTCTGGGAGGGGCGACGCATCGGGGTTATTGCTCGAGCTGTGGCGACGTGAGTGACTTGGGATTCGGCAAGGGAAGGTTGGTCAGCGTTTGGTCGGATGGGGCGGATGGCAGCCATGCGTGGGTGGGCCGAGTGGGAGGAGATTTGGAGGGGGAGAGCGCGGGGTGAGGGGGTACCACGGCGGGATGGCAGGAAGTTTGAGGAGAATTGAGTGCGGGGGCAGTGCGGGCGGGTCGGATGGGTCGGGGAGAAACGTGGTGGGGCGTAGATACGGATGACAGGGACGAGGGTTTGGAAGGCCATGGCGAAGGAGGAGGAGTTGGGCATGTTTCGGAACGGGGATCGGATGAGGGTTGGGAGCGGGGGACACGGGTGAGGGCGGAAGAGGAGGGCGGAAGAGGAGGCGACGGGGCAAGAATACTGTCTTCGTTTGGAAAGCACCGGCGTGGAGATAGTGCAGTTCACTTAATTCGTTTAGTTTGGTGGTAGATCAGCGACGAGCTCAATGGGAAATTGGGGACAGGCTGGTCTGCGGGCAGAGATCTCCACTGTAAGAGATTCGTTTTGAAAGGAAAATTTTCGCGCCAAAAGCTTGCAAGCCAGCATTGTCCTTCGCTTCCCTTTAGTCAGGTGGGAAGCATGGATAAGTCGCCAGGAGGGCAACCGAGTTTTGCATCTTTGAAAGAGGGGCAGCTCTTGACAACCAAACCCTCAACCCCGCCGCATGCCTTCCTCCAACCCCCACCGGAACCCAACCCTCAACACGAACCCTAGCCCCTTCTACCAACCCCGCTTCAAGCTTCACACTGCCACCATCACCTCCTCAACCCCCATCGCAACCACCACCGCGACCGCACCTGCACCCCCCACCACACCGCCAAAGCTTAATCTCCACCACAGCCCGCCTCCAACCAACTCGGTTACCCCCAACCTCCCCATCACCCACCTCGTCTCCTGCTATCCCCTCATCCTCGCCTCCTCCCCCAACTCCTTTCCGTCTGGCGTCTCCACCCTTCCTACCCTGCCCACAGCCCCACCTCCAGCCCCACCTCCCGCCCTCTGTGCACCCTCCAATCCCAATGGCTTCCACCCCAACACTACATCATCACCTACCTTGCCGTCGCCCCAGACGTCTCTGTCCTCCTCCTCCTCCTCCGCCAACAAAACCCTCCGCCCGCCTCTCAACCCACCTCCGCGCTCGTCCTGCTCCGCCCCTCCGACTGCGCTCTCCTCATCCGTCTCTCCCTCCCGCCCACCTTCCGCCTTCCCCCGCATCCCACCACCTCCCCTTCTGCAACCCACTACATCACCTTCATCTCTTCCTCCCCATCTCCCACGTTCCCGTCTCATCCCATTCCCTCTCGCCCGGAACATCTATCCCCGCATCTCCGCCACGCCTTCAACATCAACTGCGAAAACCCCACCCTCGACGCCCCGTTTTCCCCCGCCCTGGCTCTCGACGTCGCCCCGGCCCCCTACGCCGTCGCCGTTTCGGGCTCCGACGGCCCCATTGCAGTCTATCGTTTCACGTCTGGCTACAAGTGCTTACTTAGCCACAACCTCCTCAACATCGCCCAATTCTTCACCCGAACCCCCCTCCTTCGAATGTCCCCCGTTCCGCACCTCGCTCCCACACCTCACGCAAATCAAACCTTTGGTCTCGCCCTTTGCACCGACCACTCTGCGGTCTTGCTTCAAGATGCCATGCCTGCGTCCCCTATCGCCTTGCAGGCATGCCGCCCGCTCGCCATTTGTGCCTTCCGTTGGCCCGCCCCCGGAGAAATGTCCGCAGTCATACTCGTCCTACGCGATCCTGCCGCTGGGGGAAAACCAGCCAAGCTGGGCTGTGAAGCGCGCTTGGCGTTTGCCGTCGCTTCTGCGCAACGCGTTGTGCAATTTTCGCCCGTTCGAGGCGTCTACGAACGCGATGTTGACAACGTCCATGTATTGCGGGAGGACATGCATTCGGCCATTGTCATTTTGCAGTGCACAACGCAGCTTTTGTGCTATCGCATCAGTGTGAATGCGTCGGGCGCATTTCGAGTTGCAGAGGCTAATACCGATAATGGTTTTACTGATGTACGGACTGACAAGGAGGTCCGTTATGAAAGTTTGTTGAGAGTGGGGGATCACATAGTCGGCGCGAATACCGACGGGTCAACAGTAGTTCTAGATCCCCTGATTAGACGTCGTTTCGGGCCATAGTCTACCCGAGAGCGAAAGAAAAGAATATAAGTGTCACTTCTGCAGTCGGATGGGTTCTGTGGGCGGCGCTGTCCATCACGCGTGGGGCAGTTTCCGCTGCAGCGTTTATGAGATCCTTTCTCAGCGATTTTTATGTTGGGCAACGGTTGTGTCCTTTGACAGTTCGTTCCTCCGTGGCTGTATTATTAAGATTGCCAGTTTTTCATGCTGCGATCAAACCCCACTCTGCCGAGGAAAGTTCATGGTCGACCAAAATCTATTCCAGCCAAAAGGTATCTGCCTCCTCCAATTCTCACAGAGAGCTCGGAAAAGGAACTCCAGTAGCTGCCCCGCAGAGACGAGCATCTTGCCAGAAGCAAGATGTCCGCTAAAGCGAAAGGGAGACATTTTTTGTCTCGATCGTCGCATCGTCTTGGAGTATAGAAAACACGCGAGGGAAACTCCCGCTCTAGTCGAAGAAACACTTCCCTGTGATCTGCGGCCACATAAAACAACTGATCTCGCGGCTGACGCCTCATCTCAGCAACGAATGTATCTACTCGTGTGAGATTTCGCCAGTAGTCTGTCCGCTTGGAACTTTCTTCGCTATAGTCTGCGGCGCTAACACCATCAATATCAGCATTGATGCTCTTTCCGCGTATATGAACTCCAATCATACTCGACATGGGGTAACTAGCAAATCTCTCAATGAGACGCACGACATCTATGTGCGGAGTGAGGGTTCGTAAGACTTGCCAGTATGAACTCTGCGTTCTGATTATGAATGGTGTTACCGGGGATTGGATGACGTAACACGTCGACACGTAAATGTGATGAGAAACGTCGTCCTTGACCTCGTCGATAGCGGTATTTGGTGATGTCCCATTTGTCCGCATGTAGTTGTACCATTTCACTTTTTTCATCATAGAGTCTGTGGCGTTGTTCTTTCGAAAAGGCCAACTGTCATCCCTAACAAACTCGTTAGAGACGACGAATTCATCATTGTTGGTAAAGAGATCTGTGTACAAACAGTTGAGATGCTGATCTGGCTCCCAGATCAAAACGAGGACCCTATCCGTTCGCCGCGCAAATGCCATAGCTGAACCAAGAGCTCGCAGTCGATTCCCCAAGCCGTACTGAGTATGGACAAAAAACGCTCTGGGTCGCTGCACACCCTTTCTTCTTTTGCTCATGAGCTTCAACAACAGAAGTCGCTTAGCTGTTTGTGACATTCCTTTCAGCAACATTGACGGGACTTCAAACTTGTGGTGCAAAATCTGTTGTGCAATACTGGCATTTTCGGTCTCCCAATGTCGCCCGAGAATGGATGCCCTTGCTATGGTATCGTTCGGAAGACCAGCGGCCACTTCTAAGTCATTCAAAATGTATTCCTGAACAGTCCTAGGTGAATATTTGCTCCACACAACTTCTGAGAGCGAAATGGCGACGTGTACGTCCAGCACAGCCAGATTGTCGAGCGTCGCAATAGTTTGTGTATTGCTAATGACTGGCATGTGCGGCACAGTTGCTGAAGAGCGCGCCTTATTGCGGGCCGATATTCGTAAGTCTGCTGACGTGAAGGTCGAGTCATTGGTGACAAGGCGACCTGGTACAACGGCTTCAATTACTGAGAATTCCGCCCAGTCCAGATAAGTGTCTTCGCGAGTGATTTTGTGACAATGATGTTTGCGTTCTAGAGCGACAATCATGGCACTGTAGTTTAAAAGTCTACCACTGGCAGTACGGACGAGATCGTGCAACGACGTAGCGCCGCTGACATCGGAAAAAATGACGGCAACTCTATCTGTCGTCTGCGAGTATGCGATACTGCTTGCCATGGCGCGCAGACATTGGGGGAGGGAGCAGCGAGAAATATGGGTGAAGATAGCTCTTCGTTTGACGGGAGACAAGAAGGTGTTTGCCTTCGGAGCCGAGAGCAGCGAAAGCAAGGCTGCCTGGTGACTTGGGGAAAGAAGGCGAATGTAGCGGACTGGAATAGCATGATGCTCATGCAAGTGGGTTTCTAAGGGGGAAAAGCGGGGCGGGCGATGAAAAAGAGCGGCGTTGCTCTTCTTCGAGGAGGCATGTATGTCATTGGCTTCAAATGTATTCGTGGTCTCTGAAGTGAGCTCCGAATTGAGGAGGGAGAAGAAGACAAAGAAGCCAATGGCAAGGACGATGACGTGCCCCAGTGAACTTTCAGTTTCGTTGTTGAGTTTGGACATAAACTTGCGAAATGTATGGCGCAAGTAGAGCGGGAGTAAGCGGAGTTGATTTGCTCGTTCGGCGGGGCAGATACAATGCTCTTGGCAATGTTTAGGGGATGGGCAAGTGAGGAAGTGGTCGGAAGTGGTGCGGGAGAGGAGGTTGCGGGTGTGCATTTGCAGGGGTTTCAGGAAGAGCAAAAAGAAGCGGGAGTGTGTGTGTGAATGAGGGAGTGGACTATTGAGACATGTGGCAAAGTTATTTTTGTTGGGGAATGGTGTTGAGAGGGTTTATCACTGAGCAAGGGGGAATGTGGCATGGGGAATACTTGGTAGTGAGGGTAAAGGAAAGCATGAGAAGCAAGACAAGAAAGGAGATGGAAAGGAGCGAGCACACAGTGTCAGGGGGATGAAGCTTTTTAGCAGATTTGCTTTTAGCTGGGAGTCAGAAAATGAATGGATCAAGGTGACAAGGGTGGAGTGTGTGTGTTGGCAGACGGTGTCGGTGTGGTTTGTTTATGTTTATGTTTATGTTTATGTATACGACTGTCTCGTTGGGTTGTGATGAATGCGGTTGAAAACAAAAAGTAACGGTTGGTGTACAAAGAAGGGGCGGGGAAGCAGACAGAGGACAGAGAAAGCATGTCGGTGTTGGATGAAGAAAGAATGATGCTGCTCATCAAATTCCAGAAACAGAGAGGCATCCGAACTTGTCATGGCCGCGACAGTTGAATTCAGCACTGTACACGTGTACTCAGTGCATAAAGAGAGATTGTACAGCACTGCTGTACCACTCTGCTACACACTTCGAAGGTGCAGTATCCAAGGGTACCGTTATACTGTAGTGTCTCTCCCTCACACGTGTGCACCCTCCTTACCCCTTCTTACCCCTCTCCTCTTCCACCCGACCTCCCCGGAAGCACCGCGACCAACACGACCCCACAATGGCCCTCGCTTCCTCCCCCCATCTTTGCGATGTAGTAATTGTTGGCGCCGCTCGTACCCCTATCGGTTCCTTTGGCGGCGCCCTGGCCCAAGTCCCGGCCACAGAGCTCGGCGCAATTGCAATAAAAGGTATGTCTTTCTGACAACAACTCTCTAAACCTGCATGACATGCTTACCAACCCGGTGACCGTACACGATCTTACCTCATGTCTGCTTCTAAATCGTCCTTCGCTCCCGCATCGTCAGGCGCCCTAGAAAAAGCGTCACTCCCTGCCTCCGATGTTGACGCCTGCTACATGGGCAACGTCTGCAGCGCCGGCCTCGGGCAAGCTCCCGCTCGTCAAGCCGCGTTAAAAGCCGGTCTCCCCCCTTCGTGCGTCTGCACCACCGTCAACAAAGTCTGTGCCTCCGGTCTCAAGAGCATCACCCTCGCCGCCCAGGACATCGCCCTCGGCATCGCCGAAGTCGTCGTCGCGGGCGGCATGGAGAACATGTCCGCCACCCCGTACTATCTCCCCAAAGCCCGCTTCGGCTACCGCATGGGCGACCAATCTACCATTGACGGCATCCTGTGCGACGGCCTAACTGACTCCACGGAGGACAAGCACATGGGCACGTTTGCCGAACGTTGTGCCGCCACCCATGGGTTTTCAAGGAGCGCGCAGGACGACTACGCGCGAATGAGCTATCGCCGCAGTGTAAATGCGTGGAGCGAGGGCAAGTTTGCAGGCGAAATAGTCCCCGTGCGCGCGATGGTGGGAAGGAAGGAGGTCGACGTCGACCGGGATGAGGAGTGCACGCGCACGCCCATCGACAAGATCGCGACCATGCGCCCGGCATTCCTGAAGGACGGGACGGGTACCGTCACCAGCGGAAACGCATCGGGCTTGAACGATGGCGCGGCAGCCGTCGTCCTCATGAGCCGCGCGCGCGCCACGCAACTGGACATGGCCGTATTGGGCACAGTGACGGGGTTTGCCGACGCGGAGCGTGCCCCAGCCGACTTCACTATCGCGCCGGCACTCGCGATTCCGAAAGCGCTCAAGAGGGCGGGGAGAAAGATGGACGAGGTCGATGTGTTCGAGATCAACGAAGCGTTTGCGGTAGTTGCGCTCGCGAATTGCAAGCTCATGGGGCTGGAGGGGGGAAAGGTGAATGTGTGGGGCGGGGCAGTTAGTCTAGGGCATCCCATAGGGTGTGGTGGGGCTCGGATTGTAGTGACGTTGCTATCAGTGATGAGGGAGAGAGGGGGGAGGGTGGGGGTTGCGGGGATTTGTAATGGTGGCGGGGGAGCGACGGCAATGGTGGTGGAAAGGGAGGCAAGGGTGCAGTCAAGGATTTGAGAAACCCGGTCCGCAAATTTGGCGCAATCCTCCGATTCCGATTGAGACCCACAAAAAAAGCAGCAATTTACCTGAAACGCGCCGAAAATGGATCTTAAGCTTTCTACTACTTTGTGCTTTTGGCGCAGCTTTGCGAACCCCGCCCTCCTCTCAAGCCCCGCACCACGTCCGCCATCGATCTCTATTGACCGCTGCAGTCCCGCCTAGCCGCGTCCCACACATATCTCTACCGCCATGTCTTTCAAAGAGAGTCCCCGTACCCGCAAGCGCATCCGTCAGTCGACGTTGGGTCTCTCCCCGCAGGGACAGCCCAAGCTGCGGAAGATCAGTGTCGCTCCAGACGACAACGACCGCGGCGCCTGGGATCATCGCAAGGGCCTCATCACTTTCATCCCTCACGCGTGGAAGCCCGACGCCATACGCGCCAAGTATGGCGAAGACGCGCCCATAAAAGTCGCCGCTTTCGATTTGGACAGCACCCTCATCACCACCAAGACCCGCGCAAAGTTTCCCAAGACCCCGCACGACTGGAAGTTTGTGTTCCAGGGCGTTGCGAACAAGCTCAATGCGCTCTCCGATGAAGGCTATTTGCTCGTCCTTTTTACCAATCAAGCAGGTGTGGGTAACGGTCGCATCACCGATTTGTTTGTCAAGACACGAATTGCCGCCATCATGGCTGACGTCCGTGCCGACATGGGCGCGTTTGTGGCCACCGGAAAGGATAACTATCGCAAGCCTGGCACGGGAATGTGGGAGGAGTTTGCCCAATCCATTGGCGGCCTTCAGTTGATCGATCCCACCAATTCGTTTTACGTTGGTGACGCCGCGGGAAGACCGGCTCGCCCGGGTGGCGACAAAGACTTTTCGGATAGCGATTTACGCTTCAGCATCAACATCGGGCTTCCTTTTCGCACACCGGAAGAGTACTTTGCGAACAAGAAGAGCGAAGCCGTGTCCGCTTCCAACTTGAAAGGTTTTGATCCGCGCACCATCGTGCAAACAGCGTCCGATGTCACGCTATTGGATGGCACTACGGACGTTGAAGCCTTGCTTACCAAGTCGCTTACACCACCAGACGTCGCCAAGGACCTCATCATGGGCGGAGCCGCGCCCGACGAGCGTCCTGCCGCACAGACCATGGTGCTCATGCACGGCATGCCTGCGTCTGGCAAGACATCGTTTGTTCGGCGTCATCTTCTCTCCCGCGGGTATATCTGGATCAACCAGGACACGATGCAGACTTTTGCGCGTTGTGCGCGAGCTACGCGGGAAGCACTGGCGAGCGGGTATAGCGTGGTGATCGACAACACCAACCCAAATAAGAAGGCACGAGGGAGGTACATCGAAATCGGTAAAGGTTGCAATCAGGGGCTGAGGATTTTGGCGCTCTGTATGAAAACGCCAAAGGACTTGGCGCAGCATCTCAATATTGTAAGAGAAAGGGAGAGCAAGGGGGGAGTGCAGCACATCCCAGTGGTGGCGTATCATATGTTCTTAAAGAGGGCTTCGCCGCCAGAGTTAGAGGAAGGGATCGATCGGATTGCTGATATCAAATTTCTGCCATGCTTCTCTTCGGAGAGAGAGCAATACATATTTACAAGACTGACATGATTCAGATCCTGTGCTGGAGGAATAGACGTTTGTATAAAGTGAGTTTTGACCTTGCCTTTGTGTTATTAAGTTTGTTGCTGCGGCTGCACGCTCGCACCGGATCCGTCTCGGCCAAGCAGGGCCTTGACCAAGGCGTTGGGGTCACCAATGTCTTCATCCTTCTCCCCTAGAACTTCTTCGCGCAATTCCTGTGGCAAATCCCTGATGACTTGGGGAAACCAAACAACGAAGATAACGGCCAGGAGTTGCAACAGGCGGTACTTTAATCGCCACAAGTCGCGCAGTTGCCACGGGGCGGGCTTCTTTGCATAATTAGTCTTCTTCCGCGGCGTCATCACAATCTCCGTCTGTTCTGGCCAGATTGCGTCCTCGCGTGGCGGAAGCAACAGCGGATCCTTGCGCGGCATGGCCGACGCCACAGCGCCGTTTTTCAATAGCACGAGCAGTTGCGTATATTCATAGGTGTCCGCGCCGTAAACCTCGAGCACGAAAACGCCGTCAGTTTGCTTGGAGAGACGCGAGAAGAGGAGAGAGCCGTCCTGAGCGACGGCCGAGGAATCGACGATTGCACCGCCCGATGCGTGCACGACCACGGAGAGGGCAGTACTCTCGCGCGCCGACTCGCGCACGGTGCCCGTGATTTCGGTACTCACGGCATGGGATGACAAACACAAGATTGCGGCGACGAGAAGGGGAAGCATCTTGCGCAGCTCCCGATAGGAAAGGACTTAGGTCGTCCTCACGGATGATCAGAGGACACTGTGGCCTCGTAGACGAAATGTTCTGAGTACAACTGTACTGAACAGTACAATGATTTTAGCGGGGCCTCCGTGTAGCTACATCTTCCCTTGAACCACCGGGACTCCCTGAAGCGGCACGCTTTTGACGTCAGGGCAAACATGCCCGCGACTACATCGCCAACCCCGGAACAGGCGTCCCCCCCCTCGATCGCCTCAGTAGGTCTCGCGACTGTGTGCACGCTCCTCGCCAGCCTGACAGTTCTGACGACGCCCTTCCTGCGTCGGTATACAGGTGCGCCGTACGTCGCGTCGTCGCCCGCTGCGCGTGCGGCCATCCGTGCGGCGCTGCACGAGCGGCGCGGCGCGCACCCGTCGCACGCGCCCCCGCGCTTCACCGACCTTGGCTCCGGCTCTGGCGAGCTGGTACTGGACGCGGCGCGGGCGGGCTTCCGCGCGCGCGGCGTCGAGCTCAACCTGTGGCTGGTGCTACGTGCGCGCGCGAGCGCGTGGCGGCTACCGGACGACGTGCGTGCGAGGGTCGAGTTCGCATGGCAGGACATGTGGACGTGCGAGGTTGGCGACGAGGATGTCGTGGCCGTGTTTGGCGTGCCGGGGATTATGGAGAGGGTGGGGGGGTTGGTGGAGGGCTGTCATGAGGGGTGTTTAGTCTGTTGTAATTCGTTTGCGATACCGGGTCGGAAGGCGAAGGGGAAGAGAGGCGGGGTGTACTTTTATTCCGTGGGGAGGATGGCGGGGGCCGCAAGGAAGGATTGCTGATGTAGACCACAAGACCGTGTGGTGTTCCCTGTACTGTATTTTGAAGCGGGAAAGCAGTCCACTCCCCTCCCGCCCTCCCTTTTTGAATCACTTTTTGTTCGCCCCCATTCTCCTGCCCCCCCAAACCACTGCGTTGATCCCCCGCCATGTCTTCAATCTTCTCCGTCCCCTCTACCACGTCCGCCATGTCCTCTTCCTCCACCGCCGCTTCCCCCCCTACTGCAGACCCCCTCACCTTCCGGTACCGCCCTGACCGCCGCCAGCCCCTCACCCGCCAGCAAGCGCAGCAGGTCGTCGCCACACTCTACAACAAACCCTACACCACCATTTCGCTGGGCGGCTGTGCAGTTAGAGACGGTGCTGCCGTTGTCATCGGCGAAGCTTTGATGCATCTCGCTGAGAAAAAATGCGTCCGCAACGTTGACTTTTCCGATTGCATCGGGTCTCTCTCCGAAGAGGAGGCCCTCCGCAGTCTGCATTCCCTCTCCCACGCAATCGGCCAGTGGAAGGGGCTCCGCTCCGTCAACCTTTCCCACAACGCCCTCGGCAGCCTTGGCATCTCTCAATGCGGCGCGATGCTGGAGAAGCAACAAGACCTCCAGGAGCTCCGCCTAGAACACGCGGGCCTTGCAGCAGAATCGGCCCGTCTCATCCAGAGCTATTTGGGCGTCCGCCCCGCCACCCGTCTCCGCTCGCTTCAAATCCACGCAAACTCTCTCGACTCGGCGGGCACCATCTACTTTGCCGAGATTGTCGGAAAGTCCCCCAACATCCAATGTCTCCGTCTCTCCTCGGTCAACGCCGGCGCCAACGCCCTTGCCCGCGTTGCCTTTGCCCTGGAAAGCAAGACCTGTTTGCGCGAACTTGATCTTTCCGATAACCTTCTCGATTCCGCCGCCGCCACCGCCCTGGCCAACTCGCTTGTCGCCCTGCCGCATCTCCAACGACTCATCCTGAAAGACCTCGACATGAAAGATGCCGCACTCAAAGCACTGCTCAAACCCTTTGTTGACGCCGAACACAAGCCCCCGCTTACCCATCTGGCCCTCGCTGATAACGAATTATCCCCGGCCGTCGCCCCCGTCTTGGAGTCGCTATTGTTCGCCTATTCCCACACTTTGACTTATCTCGACCTCAGCCACAATGAGCTGGGGCCCGCCACGGCTCAGAGCTTGACAGATGCGTTGGCGGACGCGCACAGAGCGGGCAAGAAAATCGCTCTCAAGACGCTCCTGCTCGCGAAGACCAAGATCCCTGGAATCCCGATCCTGCGTCTTACCAGGGAACTAGTCGCCCTTCCAGGGTTTGAACGCTTGGATATTCTGCGCAACCCAATCCCGAAAGTTGTCTATGATTGTATTGTGGGGGCCCTCGGGCCCAGTGCTGTACTTTACAACGTCGCTGTTGTACCTAATGAAGGTGAAGAGTCTAGCACGACGTCTAGTCAGGTCGATGAAGAGCAGTTGCAAGAGGCAATGCAGGAGTTTGCGGACATAACATCAGTGATGATACCCAGCACACCCCGATCCTCCGAATTGCTGTCGCCATTCTCGGAACAGTCCTCCTCCCAATCCAGGTCTGCCGTCTCCAGGTTGCGCACCCTTTTCTCCGAACAGGGATCAGAGAATGGCAGCGAGCAGACGTCCTCCCGAGTCCCTGGCACGGTGGAGGAGACATCCACGTCAACACGAACTGCGCCGCCTAGAAGCTTCGAGGATGATAGCGGCGCAAGAGAGGACAATTCGGAGACCAATGCCCCCTCTTCGTCGCCGCAGACTCTGCCAGTCAACGGAGCGACTATGACTTCATCAACTCTGTCAACGGCGAGAAATGTCTTGCAAGAACCCGGGGCGATACCAGTTGCGTCTGTAGCAAATAGGATCGTGACCAGTGCCGAACAGCCCGAGTCTGCCAAAAAGCTCAAGACAAGTCTTGCGTCCTTTAGGCGAGCGTTTACAAACTTGTCAAGCGAGTTCGGACCTCCTGTTTCGTCTCCGCTCGTTGCTGAAAACAGAATTGCATATCTGGGAGATATGGGCAATGCGTCAAACAATGTTGGTGACTATCTGCTAGCAGGAGAGCTATCGCGAGACGGAGCTAGAAAGCAATCGGCTCTTGGAGCACTCGTTAACATTCTTGGGGCACTGCTTATTGGGGCATTCCTCGTTATCCTTGTGCTTGCGATTGTGCAGTCCCTTGAAGAGTCCACATTCGCTTATCGGGCCGTGTAAACGTCCATATGTAAACAAATCGAGCTTTGTATATATCGGCAATGTCCCACAGAGGCGCCACAGAATAAAAAAGCTGGATAATACTGGATGAAATCTGCACACTAGAACAGGAGCTTCAGTGCACAAAGATACTTTCCAATGTTGTCTCGCTTCTGAAAGCCGCCTACTTGGTGGTGCTCTTTACTGGGCAAAAAACAAAAAAAAGAATGGAGACGAGAAGGCCCTTACGGGGTTTCCGCCTCCCGTTCATCTGAGCCGCCCTTGCCTCGAGCCCTTGCGACAAGTGCCCCATGGTCTCCATGTGGGACTCTTTGATACGCCGATTGCGCATTGCCGACGACGGCGCGAGGCAATGCCTCAGAATTTGGGGCCGGCGGGCTTGGGCTCGATAGACCAAGCCTCCTTCTCCAAAAATTGGCGCAGCTCAGTATTACGCATCCAAACACGGGAAATGTCCCCGGAGCAACGAGAATCACAACAAACAACCATTCGATAAATTGAACAAAACCTCCTTTCATGAGGCGACGGCTGTGCGCCCGCGCTTCGGCAATCAGTTCGCTGGTCGTCAGCCTGCGAGATGGGCGATCGTCGGCCTCACCTTCCTCGTCGTCTGGAAACTCGCCGTCATCGCCGTTTTCCGTTTCGTTGTCGCTACCACTGACGGCTTCCAATTCTTTCGACATTACCTTCTCAGTACTTTGAGACGAATTCGAAACTCGCTTAGTTCCTCTATCATCGGCCTCGGCAAGGACATCGTCGCCCTGCGTGGCAGTTGCGTTTGAAGTTTTGGGTTGGGTATTGGCCCTGCTATCTTCCTGTTCATCTGAGTTTTCTACAATTTTCCCGATTTCCGAGTTCGCATCAGCCCCTCCTTTTCTATCTTCGACCCTCTTCTTGCCAACTTTCTCGTCGCCTTGGACAGCCCTCGCAGCAATCGCCAACCGGGAAGCTTGTGTGCTGCCCGTCAGCCCTGAGTAGGTTATCGGCAGAGGCGCTGAGGAAACATCACAGCTGCAGAGGACAGACACGGCGAGGGCGATGGCGGCGGCTCGTGACTTCATTGCGGCGCGCCACGGACGGCGCTACGAAGATATCTGTTGGTGCGCCGCGTCATGTGCTAACAAGTGCCTCCAGCAGCCTGGCCGTGGACGCGCGCAGCGCCTCTCAGCAGGCGGTGCAGGCGCTGTTGGTCGAGTAAATGAGGGACGGAGGTTGCGGTTGGCGGGCACGGAGCGGGGAAGGGGAAGGGTGTGTGGAAGTGGCCGTGATGATGATCGAGAAAAGAATATGGGACAGCGTTGGTTAAAGAGGTGAATTATTTTTGCCAGAGTCGAATATTTGCAGCGCCGATTTTTCTGATGTCCGACGGTGGCCCGCGATGACGAGTCAGTGGATACGAATCCGCCCGTGACGAAGCCTCTGTCGACAATCAATTTTCTGTTGACTGCCATGATAACACCTCCCTGTTGCCAACCACATCCTCCACCCCTCTCACTCGCAACCACAAGTCGTCGTGCTGCTTGCGCTCTCACCTACAGCGCACCCTCATACCGACTTCGCAATGCCGCTACCGCTACCATTGCTTCGCAAAAGGTTGTACAGTACCAATAGAGGGTTTACGCAAAATCAAATTTCGTACAGAGTTTCGTAGCCACGTACGAACCGTAGTACCCGTTGCACAAGTGGCGGGATCATACGAAATTTCGTGCCATCGCCGTTCTATAGTTTTTGCCACCACAGTCAGTGACCGCCTGCAATTTCTCATTTATTGTTCCGCAAATCGCCGTTTCTGTGCCAGAAATGGCAGTTGAATATCTTCATAGAAATAATCGTTTTTAGGGCATGTGTCCGTTGTTGCGCCAGTCGAACCTGCAAGGATGCAAAAAGAGTCGTTGTCACCTCCTGATCTCACTCTCCCGAAAACGATATGCTGGAAGTGTGCTCTGTCTAGTCGCCTTCTTTACGGAGATGTTCTTCTTCAAATACCTGGAGCGCTTCCTATACCGAAGCTTTTACTGTATCGAGCGTCTTGCACGCATGCCGTTCACGACGCCCGCTGTGCTCACTCCGAACGTTCAAACTGCAGCACTTCCAGCGAGAGCAACGGCACGGCCTGCACAGATCCCATTTCTCGTCAAGGCCTTTCCAAACCTTTTACAGGCCTAACAAAACTCTTCTGATATCACGTTTACTGTGGTGCTCACTGCGTCGGTGCCCTTTAATAGCACAAAAAATGTCGTTTTGCGCAATGATCACAGAGGTGTGCACAACCTCAGAACAACTCGCCGTCAAATGTTGCGTTGAAGTGATTTCACAACAACTTAGGGGTGCTAAAACAGAACAGCACTACCTCAAAGTGCAACTCAAGACACCTGGGTGTGGTAGAAACCGTACGTTTCTCATCTCCAAGGCTCTGACACACAACGTCTGTATTTCTGATAGTCTGAACTTTCCCATACGAAGCCCATGCAAAACCAATGCATGCATGGCGATTTACCCATACTTGCACGAGCAGAAATTTCCCAAGTGTTTCCTATGCGGAGAAAAGCGCCATGATTGCGTGGACGTGCATGGCCTGGTTCATGGGCCATTGGTAATTTGCATGGGCTTCCATGGGTTTGCATTGGCCATGTGCATGGGATTGCATTGGGAATATGCATGGGCTTGCATGGGATTTTCCATGGGCTTGCATTGGACACCTGTATGGGCTTGCATGGGATTTTGCATGGGATCGCATTGGGAATGTGCATGGGCTTGGAAGGGATTTTTGCACGGGTTTGCGTTGGCCATCTGCATAGGCTTGCATTGGCCATATACATGGCCTTGCATGGGGTTTCTGCATGTACTTGATTTGGCTATTTGCATGGGCTTGCATTGACCTTTGCATAGGCTTGCATGGGTCTACTGGGCGGTTTTCTTTCGCTCTAGCCGTACAGGTTTCCTCCTTTAGTTTATGCTACGAGCATAAACTAAAGGAGGATACTTGCATAGTTTACAACATTACAATACAAGACCCGAACGTCGAGGCAAATCTTTTCGCTCTTGCAGCTGCTGGGGATGGTGGCGGTCGCGAGTGGAGCCCGCGGCCCGCTCCGCTAATACACTTTTTTGGCAGGCGGTGTCGTGTGCTTCTGGCTATGGAGCGCCGTTCGCGGTCTCTCGCAAAGCGCTAAGGGTGGCCGGCCGGAGCGGGGCCGGACAGCTGTGGGCGGCATCATGCACTATAATGGTGCACGGCACGTCCCAAGATCGTTCCAATGCTGACATGCTAGTGGCGCACCAGCAAAGCCTTTGTTGCGTCAGGTCAAGTCGAATTGAACTATTGAGTCGGAGAAACTTTGTTCGTGCCTTCCATGACTCCCTGCGTCGGCCACGAAGACACTCCATGGAGTGTCTTCGTGGCCGACAACTGTGCACAGTTGTAGCAGCAGGGGGCTACGCGAAATGCAAAGCAAACGTCAAATCGCGAAAATTTCGACGAACATAAAACTTCCTTGTGGTTGTCGATAGGCGTACTAAAAGAGTCAGTAAAGAGTAGAGTACACTTGTGAGACGTGCAAAGAGTCCGCCAGATGGAGACCTCACTTACCTTTCATCCAGTATGCAGTCCAGCAGACACACAATCGTGTCTTCCTCACCGTGACGGTTGCAAGCAGTGCATGACTAAATGAGATTGTTTTCACACACTGGAAGTCTGTCAGCAAGGACCTGGGCCGACGCCGTAAGTTGAACAAAGACTCCCTCGTAGTGGAAAGATCGATTTGTACGTACCGTGAGTTGTAACAACTGGCTATGCATTCTGAGAACGAAACACCAAATTTCGAGAGTCTCACACTTTAGCATTGATCGTTAGCAAGGAAACATATGTATTCAGCATAATGAAAGCACTTGATCGCTAAAGCAATTTTGAAATGAATGCTGCGAGAGTACGGGAGAGTCCGCTTCGAGTCATCTAGATTGTAGCAGCTCGAACCATGTGTAGATATCCTAACTCCAAGTCCATAGCATAATCAAATGCCTCAACGTCCGGGGGCGCTGGATAGCTGATTCCACTTGCAGTGGCCAGTCGACGGAGCGTCGCAGGATTGCACAGCCTGATACACACTAACTTGATATGTTTTGTTGTGCGCCTCTACGCCACGTACACGGCCGTCTATTACACAGCTGAGCGTGTAGCGTAGAGGCGCGAAAGAGACTGCATCCAATGCAGCCTTATTGGGCTTGGTAGTGCCTCACGGACGGTTTGTTCGTATCGTACGAACACTGACGTCCGAGTACCTGTTCGTCTCTGTATGCTTGGCGAAGTCGCTTCAGGGGCCCATGCGTCATCCCCACAAGCCAAAAGCGTAAACCGATCGCGCTGGCACTAGCGCTGTCGGCCGTGCAACGCAAAGCTCGCGTGGGATGGCCGTGCAACGCAAAGCTCGCGTGGGATGGCGACCAGCCGCCGGGCGATTTCAATAATACCCTTGAATGAAATCATTTTCGGCAGATTACTGGGCCAATCAAAAGGCACCCCTCCCACGTTTTGGACCTCAAGCAGATCATGATGCTCTTGCTCAGTTTTTGTGCCACTCACCGGCAAGCCCATGTGGAAGAGCATCAACAGCAGGGCCAGCTTCTTCACGAAACTTGTGCCAACGCCATGCACCACGTTTCTGTTTGTTGCCCGTACTGCAGAGAAAGTTTCCCAAGGCAGGCCTACCTAGGAGCCCACAAGAAAAAATGCAAGCAGGCAGCAGTAGATGAAGCTGAGGCACAAGAGGCTGACGCTTCTGACTCACCGCCACCCGTGAAGTCTCGTCGTTTGCGTGGGAGCTTCCAACTCACCGGTCGTGCCTTGCAAGAGCGGTACGAGGATAGGATCCGACTGGCAGCGCAAGATTCGAATGTTATCCTGCCAGCCGCCGGCCTTAGCAAAACGTTTTCGCCCCATTTCGCACTGGATGCAACAGGGCAGGATGAACAACCGGAAGAGGCAACCGCAGCTGATACGTCAGGTGTAGAGGAGTCGCGAGCTGAGGATGCGACGAAGGAAGAGGTGTTTCACGCACTGCGAAATGTGGTGCTGGAGATCGGCGACAAAGGTGGTGATCGACAGGCGAACACAATCATCAATCTCCTCCAACATCAGTCATTTGATGCAAGCTTACCCAGGATCGGCTTCGAATCAATTCAGGAAATGCGCCAGAAAGCAGAAGAGGACGCTAAATGCTGGCTCGCGGATCTGAACTTCAAGCAGCAGACCATCTACGACCCCAAGAACTGCAACGTGTATGGAGTTGGCTGGTTCCGCTCGCCAGTCGATTCTCTCAAGCGCCAATTTGCAAAAGCTCAGTCACACCAGCTCTTCTTCGATCCATTCATAGAAACAAACCGCGCCAATGTAAGAGTTTACAATCACACGATGGGCTGCGCTCTTATAGAAAAAGTGGTTCCTCTGATAAAGGACTTCATCATCAGTGGCGATGGCGGTGGATTCTGGATTGATAATTACAGCTTCGTCGGAGCGATTCAAGCTTACTCAGACAAATCGTGCCAGACTTTGAAAGTCGGATCTCACTCCTTCCTGCCTTTCCATATCTGCTCTCTGAACATGACTCAGACGATCCGACAGGAGCTCATCTCCAACGGCGACACTATCGTTGCGTACTTTCCAGTTGAATTCGTGCGGGCTGCAATTAATGTTGCCAACTCTACCGGCGATGACGAGGAATATTGGTGCGGCGAGGAAGAGGAACATACTTTTGTAATGCCAGAAAGAGTTTCAGTCCAAGAGCGGCGATTATCGAAGAGCCGTGTATTTCAGGCATCAATCAAGGAGGCCTTGCTTCCGCTTTGGGATGTATCGCGCACTGGAATGGTCGTAGCAGATGGAGAGGGAAATGTCCGAAAATGCCACCCTGTTCTAGCCTCATATGTTGCGGATATGCCCGAAGCATCGGACGTGGGGGGCACGGTGCACGGGCACTGCCCTCGGGGGTACACTGCGAAGCTCGATCTTGCCTCGGAAGAGCCTTGCATTCCACGTAATATCTTGGACACTGTGCAGCGATTGAATAAGTTCGAAGTCGCTGAGCAGGCTTGTGATACGGCGAGAAAGAAGTCTCTACAAGAAAACATGAGACTGGTAGGCGTGACGACGGTTCGCTCTGCCCTTTTGAAGTGGCCGTTCATGGATCTAACCGAAGAACTGGCACTGCCGAGACTGCTGCGTTTTGAAACATTGCATAATTTTTTCCTGGGTTTATCGCGGACTCTTAAGGTCTGTGCGAGCGAAATGTTGAAAGATCCATTGCTAAGCACGACAGAGCTGCTGAATTCCAAAGGAGGTCCAAGAAAGCTCAAGTCGGCTAGAGTCGACGTATTGAAAAGATGTAACGCGTTTCTAAAGCGTATTCAGGCAGAATCGCCCTGCGTGGGGCTTAAGTTTGATTTCACGAAGTCCGGGACAAACGATGAGCTCTCTGGGTTCTTCACATCAACAGGGATAGTTGCCATGCTTGAGGCCAAAGACCTCGCCGGCATTGATCAAGTCATGCCATTCGTCTTTGCTCTGTTGGACAGGCTTTGTGGCACTATTAATAAGTCTCCTTTGACGACTGTTTGCGTTCTTTATCAAGAACTGGTGGCTACAGCTATCTCTTGCTTCTCGGAGCCTGGCTTCACCGCAGTTGAGCTCGACGCGCTCGCCGACCAGATCTCAAATTTCCAGGACAAAGCAATCGAGGTGTTTGGCAAGTACCAGGCAAGTGGTATGGCATTTCCGAAATTCCATGCTCTTCGACACCTTGTCTCAGACATCAAGATGTGTGGAAGCTTATCAAACTACAGCGCGGACTCGTACGAGGCAAGCCACAAACTGTTTAAGACAGCATATGACAAGACTTCGAAACGCAAAGACACCAGGCAGGAAGAGGCAATGCGGCGCTTGGTGCTTGCTCAAGGAGCTCAAGAAACCAGTGCCAGGTCGATGAGCACCCGGATGCTTCCGCTCAGGGAGGAAGTCATCGCCAAGCTAATGGGTAAGCGCAGAAGGACGGAATCACTCACAAAGATCAAACAGGAGATGGTGCGTGAGGACGCTGCAGGCTTGTCTGGTGGGGGCGACATAATGATGTGGGCACAGATTCATGCACATGCAGGTTCATGCGGCAGCCTTTTCCAGCACTCAGGCGAGCTAGGACCCAACATTGCGGTGCAAGAACTTTGCGAAGATGTCGGAGGTCCCGGACGTTTGCAGTGGTATGTTGATTCAATCCAAGAGCAGCACAGGCCACTGCTGACTCTGTTGTGCGAAGACCCGCTACTGCATCTGTTGCTGGCCTCCCGTGCCCAACGTTAAAGGGCTGTGAGGCGCCTGAGAGCGGCGCTGGCGACTTTGAGATTTTAACTATGGACAATGGAGACAGAGAGATGCAGCGTGCCGTCTCGTCACACAGCTACTACAGCAGCAAAGTAGCGAGACAGGATAATGTCATGATTGAGGAGAGTGGCGACGATCCGCCGGGAGGCACAGGCGGAATTGTGCCTCGAAAGGTCTACATTGCGAAAGTAATGGCTTTTATCGCTATCAAAATCCCGCGACGGGGTCACCTCCTGGCTGAGGCATCTGTGAAGAGAGATGACATCGAGATTTGTTTCATTCGGTACTACGATCGTGTTCACGGGGACGAAATCGATGCCGTTGACCGCGCCTTGAACTGCGTGAAACTTCGTTGGGCTGTGAGGGGAGAAGATGAAACTGTTTCTCCAGGAGCACCTGCGTGCGAAGCTGAAACGTCTACGGAAATGACAGATCTCGCTTACATTGATGTGCAATATGTCGGCTCAATCCGCGGCTTGCTTCACGTCGTTCGTTGCGATGATGAGTTGAGAGGCACGAGGTCGCAACCATCCCTCATCCGCAGTGGATGGGAGACGCATCGATTCTACATCAACCGATTTAAGCAGCCAATGCGTAAGATGAGGTACTCCACTGCAGACCAGCATGATCACAGACCTCACGACCCGTAATGCTCCTTCTACTTAATCGCAGCCTTAGCACCGCAATCGGAACCGCTGGGACAACTCTGAGAATACGGACCGCTCGTCAAAATCTTGAAAAGACACTGACTGAGTCAATCGAGACAAAGAGCGTCCCACGATGTCGATCGTGATAAAGTGTTTTCATGCCTCCCCGCTCAAGAGAGCTGATGTAATCAGGATGCACGATTCTTCAGAAAGCAAAATGCCTGGCAGTTGCAAAAATCATACACACATGCACCTGCGTACACGTGAGCTGCCATAAACATTTGCCCAACTGTCCTCAAGCTGCACACACAATCCCATTCCCGATAGCATTGCCCTTCTCTCTGTGACGTTCTACGCAACAACAAATGTACCACTTGTAGAAGCTCGGTCAACATCGCTCCGCGGCACATCCACAGAAGCCTCAACAAACCATTCCCGATGCCCGCATCGCCTCCCTCCTTCTTTGGTCTTACTCAGCGCCAGCAAACCATGGCCCCCACGCACCCCTTCTCTCTCTCCCCTTCCTGAAACGCACCATGTCTGGTCTCCCCAATCGTAGCGACAAACCCCGAAACCCCCCCGCTCCACACTCATCCTACTGTTGCTTGGTACAGTACTATCACTCGTGCCAGATGCGAAATGCTACCAGTATACACACGCCCTCAATTCCTCTAGATCAGCGCCGCATGTATTTCTCCCGTCTTTCTCGACCCACACGTCGCGCCTGGACGCCACCCGATAGACTCGCAGGAAAAATTGGAAGGCTGAAAAAGCTGTTGTCTCTATCCCGCATGTGAACCGGGCGAACTTGGATCGCATTCACCCAGCGCCGTCGCGCAGCTCTTTGTAGGCTTTTCTCGCCTTCCTCTGACGTGCCGACGCGCTCGTCGCGTGCGGCAATGGTCGTCGACTACAGAAGGGCTTCAAATAAAACGTTCAACTTTACTAGCGTAAATTTGACTATAATGTTTCGCAATTAAACTATCGCTACATAATTCTGTAACGGTCATGAGCAATTTACTCCAGCAAAAATTTACTGCCGGCGTAAAGCTTGAGTTAGTGCCTCAGGCAGGCGCAATTTTCTGCGGTGGAGTAGTCTGGCGAGGACGAGTACGTACGCAGCTTCGCCGATCCTCCTGAGGTCTGAACCTCAGGTCCGTCGGCGCACCACTGTTTCGGCCTGCCTGATGACTGTGGGCCGCCGGTGGGGGAGGTTGGATGAGGAACCGGAGTCACCGGTCCGGAGAAGCAAGCGATTGCGGCGTGGCCTCGCTTCCGAGACAAGAACCGTGGCTGATTGCGGACTTCCCTCAGTGGCTCGTAAAAGGAAAAGATCCAACCGCGGAAGCCACGGAATCTCAAGCCATGAGCCCGAGAGCAGGGAGGGAGATGGTAGCGCTCTCGACTTGAGCGCGGCGATCCCGACGCGACTAGACAGTGAAATCGGGCCTCTGGCCACCAACGTGGCACTACACTTGAATTTTACGGTCCCCAAACTCAGTCGCGCTACAGATGTCCTTCCCCCGGACCGAAGTTCTTCGCCCCCCGCTGTTGTCGCCGGAGCGTCGACTGGCGACACGGCCGCGGGTGCCGACGCAGCTGTACTGCAGCGGCAGATCGCATCACTTCTCAACCGTGAGAGAGCGAGGGCTGATGAGCAACACATTTATATGCAGACAATGCAAGAAGTGAAAAAGCTACAAGGTGAGAAGATCAATTCGTTAATGATCGAGGTTGCTCGGCTGAATGCGCAGGTGATGGAGCTCTCGCATGCCAAGGCTGCGTTGGAGGTCCTGGTTGCAGGTTCGTCTCGTGGAGGACGCCAGGCTGCCGCCGCTGCCGAGCGCGCAGTCATTGCGACCAAGAAGAAGCGTCAAAAGGACGAGGCATTCCTTGACACGATCACCCCGCTTCAACGCGACCTTGTCGTGGTGATGAAATATGCCTCTGATGACATCGCGCGTCGTTGCATGCGCAATCTTACTCCGATGGAGCAGTCGCCAGGAATTGCAGACTATCGGTGGGTTCCCTCGCCTCTGAAGATCGCTGAAGGCGATGGGATCGGACCGCTGGGAGGCGGCACTCGAGCGGCGGTACCACCACTCGATGTGGCGAAGCTAGGCATTACAAACGGCGCACTTCTACCGCCGCAATTGTCTCCTACCATTCTGGCTCGCACTGCATACAAGATGGCTCTCGAAAGCGGATCGCTTATCAGTGCTCTGAGAGCAGCATCCAAGGAGGAGATTTCGGGCGCATGCATCTTCAATGGCATCCAAGGGGCATCTAAGCTCTCTGCGGAGGTGGCTGACAAGGCGTCATCATATATGTCCAGCCTCAAGCGAACGGTTTGGACCAGGGTGGCCAAGGTGTGGGACGTCAGTTGTATTCGGGTTGAAAACAAGCTGAAGAGTGCCTCAGTCGACTACATCATTCATGCTCTGAACAATGCTGCTGGCGAAGACGTGAAAATGATGGGAATTGCGTTTGCAGATGACGACAGCGGCGGGATCGACAAAATTATGCGAGCATGTATTGACTGTATTACCTCTGGTAGCCTAGACCACTGGCGTACAGTGGTGCCGCCTGGGCATTCAGAGAGCGATAATATTGGAGAGAGTGGCGTTGACATCTTGTTCGTTTTTGACACCGCTCGGGATATTTACAAGGAGTGGGCTGGACTACGATTGGGAAAAGACCGCCTCAGGGCTGGCGTAGCATCAATTTTGACGCTCGCCCGCCTCGATGCCTGGATCGCGACGCGCTGCGTAATGCAGGTGGCACTGGCGAGGACAGCGCTGGGCATTGCGACAAAATTATCCGACGATGGTGCAGAGGAGAGCGATATACACTCTGCGTTGCTGAAGGTTCTGAGCAAAGGTGGAGTTTCGCACGCCATGTTCACTGACGTGCTTTCACATTTGTTACCGAAAGCAACGCTGGGTATTCACGAAACGTTGCGCGAAATAGTTGATAGGGTTGCTCCAGAAGAGCTGGAGAAGACTCTGATCTCTGATGCCAGCGGGGAGACTTTTGAGCATGCAAACGATACGAGGGAGATAACCTTTTCGTACGTCTGCCCGTATTCGATAAAGGAGGGCAAGGACTGCGACCGCGTCATTCTCAGACCTTCAGCATTCAAGAAATATGTCTGCGAGTGGATCGGGGATGTGTGCGATGGCTTGGTGGGCGTTAGCGAGCTCACGTCTTCCCAGTTTGATCCGATAAGTTTCGACGGCGAGGGGTAGTACTCAAACCTGGAGGCTTGTAATAGAACGTAAATACTAGTGCCATCCCAAAAAAAGTTCGAATAGTACACAACAATGAATTCCCGGTGATCCGTCTGTCTGTGCCTCCCCCGAACAACCAAGCATTTCTTGCGCTAGCATGTTCAACGTAAATTGCGCTGCGCCCCACTCTAAGCACGACCAGCAGACGGGGGCAGTGACGGTGTCTTCTCATACCTTAGACGACGTCGAAGCCGCACAGCATGACCTGGACGAAGCAGATGAGCATGGTGCCCAGCTTGCCCACATCGCGAATCGTAAAAAAATCGCCACCGAAGCTCAAAGTATTGTTGAAGGTCGCTCTCTGTGCGTGGGAATGCTAGCGGCTACAGTCACTATTGTGCAACAGTGCAGGCGGATGATTTCAAAAAATCCAGCATGTCGTAATTGTTTGTAACATATATCGAAAAAGAGGTTGACGTTTTCGGTTGGCAGGTAGTCGGGGTCGGACACCTCTTTCCTTTCCCACACCCGAGCCCGCCACTGCTCATATATCACCATGCTCGACGCTCCGATGTTCCCTAATGCCGACACGCCTTCCATTGCCACAGCTACTCAGCACACACAAGTGTCAACGTACTCCCAAGAATGATCGATTCGACCCTTTTCTGGCAGCTCATCGTCGTACAGCCATAGAACTTGACTACGTTGACCAAAGAAGAAGCACGATGAAAACGTTCAGTTCCGTGAACGAATGAAATACTACGTTAAGATGATCAAACGTGGCACGAGCTACAGAGAAGATCTTCTTATCAAACTTCACAGCAGTCGGAAGAAAATGGTCAAGCCAACTTCAGGAGGTTCTTGAGTTCAATTTCATTGGGGAAGTCGACGGGAGGTGTTCCAACACTGCGGTTAAGCAGAGAGATAAGTACGTATCAAAAAGTAGATGGAGAGAGGGATCGAACTGAGGACCTACGTGCGATTGGGGATCACGGTCATATCGCCGCGATGGTGAGCCTCGGCACACCACTGGAGAAGGGGGCAGACGGGGTCGACATGAATGCAGTCCGTGCTGCATAGTTGTACGAAAACGCGATCGACAAGAATGACGTCAGCGCGATGGTCGCTCTCGGCTTGCTGTTGTAGAAGAGCGCAGAGCGGGTCGATAGGAACGCGGCTTGCGCCGTGTAGTTGTACGAACGTGCGATCGAAGTAGACCTGTGTGTCGACGCGATATACAAGCTTGGCAACGTAATGAGGGATGGGAACGACGGAGTTGGGAAGGATGGAGCGCGGGCTGTCAAACTATAGAGGAGGGCGATTGAGGAACAAGATCATGTCCATTCTATATTCAATTTCGGCACGCTGCTGGCATATGATGTGGAGGGATTCGAGGGAAACACGGCATAGACAAGTTTGAGCGTGCGATCGAGAAGGGTAATGATGTCGCTTCGATGGTCAATCTCGGTCTCTTCCTTCACAAGGGCACTGAGGGAGTCGAGACGAACGCGGTTAACGCTGTACGAATGGGAGATGGTGCATCTCGGCCTCCTACTGCAGGACGGCTCGGGGGGGTCGTGAAGAACGGGGTTCGGGCCTCAGAGCTGTACGAGCTTGCGATTGACAGGAGGGACGACGTGCATGCATTGGACAATCTTGGTCTGCTGCTACACCACGGCACGGAAGGAGTGGAAATGGACGAGGTCCGCGCCCTGGAGCTGTACGAGCGTGCGCTGGATCGGGAGGTACTTGCGGAGAGAGAACGTGTCGGCGACGAGCAGGGACGGGATAGAGGGCGAGCTGGACGAGAGGCAGCTGTACGAAGGGCTCATGGAGGGCGGAAGGGTCGGCGGAGACAAGAGGTCGACGGCGTTGCGCGCCACCAACTCGGCGTGCGTCTTGATGACCACGTGAGGGATGAGCGCGCAATCTGGCGGTGCAGATCGGCTGTCCTATCAGCTCCCCCTGCACTTTGTGCACGAGCCAGCCTCTTCTCCGCGATCAACTTTGCCGGCGCGATGGCAGCGGCGCGCGTGTGGGGCAGGCGCACCACGGGCGTGTGGCACGTCTGCGCGGACGACGGAGTCGTGGGCGCAGCTGTCGCCGTGCGGGTGAAGACGCTTCTGCAGCGCGAGCTGACGTCCGGAAGTGGTGGAAAGCGGAACAGGAGGTTACGAAGAGGGGGGAGGCTGGGCTGCAGGAGTTGCAGCGCCCCCTGTTGGCAGAGGAGCGTCGGATATTAAATGCTGGGGCGGGCAATGCCTCGACTGCAGCCACGTGTAAAATTGCGCAGGGGAGGAATTTTATTGAATTGCAAGGGTGGGCGGTGGGCCGATACAGAAAAGTTCATTTATTTCTCTAACATTATAATCTGTCTTTATTTTCACTAATCAAGGGGGGGCCGATGCACAGCGGGGCAGATACTGTAGCACGAAATCGTCGGATATAAATTGGTTGGAAATTTACTTCTGGCACCGCCAGAAAGGTCGGTAGTCGTGCGCACGCAAAGGCGGGGCGATGGAGAAGGGGTTTCAGCAGGGGTGGTGTGCTTCGGTACCACTCCCCTGCTACCCTTTCTTTTGGTCGCGAGTTCAATTCTGCATGAATACTGATAATAAATAAATAATTTGTTGAATTTTAAATAATGTTTAGATTAATACATAATTTGTAGATTTACACAATTTTAATTTTTGGCAGTGTCCCGCTGCCAAATCTCATGAAGATTCGAACGTTGAGACGTTCTTCGGGCAGTACACGGCCAAAACTAAAACTAAAACGTGTGATTGAACTCGGCTTGTGCTTCTGGGGGACCTATTGGCTCGACTATTGGAAGCGCAGGAACGCCGTGCTCAACGTCAAGTGGGGGTTGGACAAGTTCTACGAGGACAACGAAAACGACATTGGCACCGATTTCGAAGGCGATGATAGGCAAGGTTTTTATTGCCGCGGCGGATTTGTCAACCTGGAGGATCTTGGTCCGGAAAGGGCGGCTGCGGACAATTTCGAACGCGCCAGAGAGCCGGGGCTGCGATCGAGGATCCGCGGGCAGCTGCTGCGAGTGACGGGCGTGCATGCCGCGTTCGAGCCGAGTGGCGAGGACGTCATTCGGATTGGCGGCGGGAATGACCCAGACTTTGTGCTGGACGCCCCGATTACGGGCTTGACCTTTTCGTCGTTGCCGGTCTTTCCGTATGCCAGTAAGCGCGACGTCCAGCGACGCGTTTACATCAGCTCGTTGGTCACCCTGTTTTTCGCATCATGTGTGGGCGCGTGCTCGTTTCTGAACCTCTTCTTGAAAAAATCCATTATCGGCCTTTTCGGCTCGCATGCGTTTGCCAAGTTTGCCCCAGGTATGGCACAGGCGGTGATCATTTCAGTTGCACACCCTCTTTGGAAGCGCGCTACGCTCAAGCTGTCAAAGTGAGAGAATCATCGTACGACTCAGGCGTCTGAGAACAGCATCATTACCAAGCCATTTGCCTTTCAGTTTGTGTCCAGTAAGTTTGATGCGTCTTTGCAAGCACATCCAATCCGATTTTGAAAGTTGAACAGACCTTGCTGACCACTGCGACAGACTACATTACATTGTTTTATATCGCGTTTGTCAAGCCATTCACGCCATCAGACCCTTGCCTTTTGGATGCATCTGGAGCTCCGGACTGCATGGTTGAGCTTGGGACGCTGCTCACTTCATTGCTCATCACAAAGGCGACGGTGCAGCAGTTCATGGAAGTAGGGATGCCATTTATCAAACTGCGCGTCACTCAGTGGCTGAAAAGGATAGAGCATCGCGAGCTAGTTGAAGAAATGGACACGACCCAGCGCATACAACTGCTCGCGGCAGGCGCTACGATTGACGATGCAGACACGCAAGATCTCGTAGAAGAGTTAAGAATGCCTCCGTATCGGTCGACGGTTGAAGACTATGGAGAAGTTGTAATTCAACATGGTTTTCTAGTGATGTTTGGCCTCTCGTTTCCGCTCGCAGCACTGATTAACTTTCTCAACAATATGGCGGAATGCCGCACGGACACATACAAAATGCTCGCCGTACACCAGCGACCGGATGCTGATGATGCAGCGGACATAGGAGGATGGTTGCCCGTACTGAAATTTTTGTCCACTGCATCTATCGTGACCACGGCTTCTCTCGTTACTATTACGACGCCAGCACTTCAACTGGCTCTCCCGTATTTTATCGGTAACGTTGGTGAGCGGTATCCAGCGGTCTCTTTCTTGATTTTCGAACATGTCCTGTTGTTAACGCGATGGGTAGTGGACTTTCTGGTATCTGACAAGCCATCGTCGACCTACCGAATGCTTGCTCGACAAGAGTTTCTCATCGCCAAATGCTTCAATGTTGGTATGCAACCTTACTTTGAATCATCCGCTCACGGTATTAAAGAGGCATGACGTCCTATCGGCAGATAAGATCAAGTATGTTCTCGGAGCATCTGCGCAAACGCTGCGCCTTGGCCATGAGCCAAGATTACGTACACATTAGGCTCAAAAACTATTAGACAGAGCACCGTCGTAAATTCCTGCAGGCAAGCATTCGTGCTGGCTGAATGTTTTTCTGTATACAACATCCATATATCGTCGACAAGCGAGAGCCGAATGGTTTTTGGCCCTTTTGGGACGACATTGCTCTCTCCCCGAACTTTTTCTCGCGTAAATTTAGCATCCCAGACAGCCCCCTGCTGGATCAAATTGATTTGCTGAAGAGCGGCGCAACCGAAAAGGTTGCCAACTTGACGGCAGTGTATCAGTCCTTTGCGATTGTCATGTCGCAAACATCCTCATATCATGCCGTGCTTTTTCAGTGGTTGGATGCAAAGGGGCTGCAGTGGAGGCCAAACAGAACTTTGCGTCTCAGATGTTCCACCACCAGCCTATAAGACTAAAATATTTTCAACGCCGTGGAAAAAATAGGGTTGTGATGGCGCTTCAAAGGCGCGACGATTTCTGTTATTGATGAACTATATCAAAGAGTTTTGGTGAGTGTGACTTGTTGTATTCTCGCTGTTGCACGAAAACACCAGATGTCTTGTTTTGAAAACTTCTCATAAACCGACGACGTTTTGCAAGATCTCCGGCTATTTGTCAGATCTTGCTAGTTTGAGATAGCTCCCATCAGCTTCATCATTTTATGACACATTCAAGTTTTCTATTCTTCTTGGAACTATTCTTGATTATTCCGGCAACTCATCACATTAAGAAATCATTGATTGCTTTTCATTCTGTCCATGGTCATCCCTCTTCTAGTCATTTGTATATGGACATGTTACATGAGAAAGACTGCTTCGACTTCTGCCTGCTGTGACGAGCTGGCCTGTTCTCAAGCAATACCACATATGCAACAGAGTCGAAAGCAAAATAGCCTCACTCATTCTGTCTTGTTCAGATAATAGCGCATCACCAAAGCATACTCGATAAGCACAAGTGTGCACCAGCTTTAACGCGAACCAAGGGCTGACGAAAAGAGCGTTCAAAATGAATGGTGTTTCTCTATCCCCGCAACGCGGACAGCGAATATAGATAAGACTCTAAATGGAGTGTCCTGACCCTTGAGCCACATGGTTGCTTCCAGTTTATGTAAACTCCACATTTGTGTGAACGTAGCCCATGAACACCCATGCACACCAATGCCTGCATGAGCTCGCATTGAACATATCTGAATTGTTTTGGCCATCACTACCCCATGCAGACATAGACTGTTGCATGGACGGTTCTATGGAACATGTTTGGCAAAACTAAAACTTGGATTGAATCCGCCATGCGGAGCCCATGAACACCCATGCACACCAATGCCTGCATGAGCTCGCATTGAACATATCTGAATTGGTTTCATGGCTGTCATATTTGAAAAGATATACCTGTTTGATGGACGGTTCCATGGAACATGTTTGGTATTGCATAGGACCAGGCCTAAGCAAATCCCCATGGAAAAGTTATGATAACCGCTCCAATTGTGAGCATGGGCTTGCATGGTCTCTGCATAGGAAATTTTAGAAAATCAGAAATACAGACGAAGTTGTGGTCCAAGTATATATAGTGTGATGGCGGAGGGACTGTAATGGTATTTTCGAAGACAGATCTGAAGATGTACAGAAACCGGAACGTAACGAAGTAGAACAGCAAATGCCTGGTGTAAATTGTGAGGCTTTTCTTTGCGAAACAGCAATGGCTTTGACTAGGAAGATTTGTGACTGCATTATTTTTAGTTGATGGATAGCCCCTGTCAGTCTCTACTATTTATGGTACTGCACAAGCAATGTCAATACCGAACTTTTCGCAGATTGCTTTAAGGAGAGCAATGTGCTGGAATTTTACTGCAGCGCTGACGAGGAAGACAACAGATTTGGATCACTGGGCTCATGGGAAGAGTTTGAAGGGTTTGTTCAAGGTGGTGCTGGTAATCCCCCGTTTGAATGCAATTTATTGCAGGGGATTTTGGACCGCTTTGAAGTCGGTGTGCTACGTAACACGCCTTCCTGTCGTTGTGTTCTTCTACCAACGGGAGCCAAGTACAATATCATGCCTCGTCTTGAATCTCTCACTTCAGAGAGAGAATTACTCGTGAGCACCGCAACCGGTTCAGTCCCATTCATGAATGAGAAAATCCTTCTGACAAGAGATCACGTTCGGCCTAAGCCTTGCGGACTCCAAAATGTAGGTCTGTATATTTGGTGCAACAGGGAATATCTGCTTGCAAATCCTCCCCCATTGGATGTGGAGGACTTGTTTCAAATGTGGGTCGAAAACGGTCTCCACAAATGCGAGGAAGCCACGATTTACTTCGATGCATTGCGTCGAGCATTTATTCTCGACATGAGAAGTGACAAGTCTTCACTTCTAGACTTCTTACGAGAAGCCTATCCATAGGTATGTAATGAGTACATAGTAGAAGCTACGATGGCATGCGTAAAATGTTTCTACGACTGGGCTTGTTAAAGGAGAACATCCACGTCCTCAATGTCTACGTCTTGGCTGCTGCATTATTCGGCGACGATGGAGCCGTCTTGCTCACTTGAATCACTCTCATTCTCACAAATGTCCGCTTGAAGTGCACTTGTTGTGCTTGCAGGCACATTACAAATTTCCTCAGCCCTATTTTCGACGTGACCTGATGTTCTGTTTCTGCAAAGAACCTCATTGCATTGACAGCCGATACACTTTTTCCCATCCTTGTAGCAAATGCATCTCCTAGTAGAGCAACTGTTTTTGCACCCGCAAGAAAGTATGACAGCTCTGATTTCCCTTTCTATGCAGGACTCATCTTCTGTTCTTTCCAACAACACAGAACCATCCGGTGTATATCCAAAATTGGTGCTGCAGCCACTCCTAATTTCCGCACTTACATCAGTTTTGTGAGAAATTCCCCGGTATCGGTTGACAATGAAGCTAGCTCTACTAAATTGCAGCCTTAAATGAGATATATCACAGACTAACTCATTCGCAAATGTCAGTTTGTCTGCGACGAAGTTGCGTACATCCGTTCTCCACGACATGGACCCCACACGGTTCTCAGATATAAACATGCTTTTTTGTAAACTCAATTGCGCGTTCGGAGCCATCTCTTTCCTAGATATCCTTTCCATTGTGTCTACCACTCTATACCTGCTCCTCTCTTGAGTGGTAAGCTCAAACCTCCCATGCTTGTATAGATATAGAAGACAAACGTTCGTGTCCAATAGTATCAAATCTGGAAACGAGACCGACTCCAGAGTTCCCGCATGCTGCGATTGTCGGCACAGTGTTCTTAAGAACAGGTCATGCTTCAGTCCGAACATGGAAGGAGTAAAAGTCACACCCTGCGAGGCAATAAGCCAGTGCCGTACTCTTGCCAGGAACCCCAACTGAGTTCAGGCAGCTTACAGTTTCGTCCAGGTCATGCACGGAGCCGTTCAAAACATGAAGGATTCCAAAGCCCAATAGATCCCTGTTACAAAGGAATATTACGAAAACATCAGTGCCGTCCGACAAAAGGACAGAACCAGAACATTTCAACGGCCTCCCACGAGCCATTGCATCTCGCTCGTCATTCTAGTATCGAAATTGGTTGCAGTATGTGGTGAACGGCTCCCTTACGTACATTTCAAAGACAGTCACAAATCTTGTCTCTGACTCCCCGTGTAGAATGAGTGCCAAGGTATGCACTGCCAGAGCAATCAAACACAATGCATCTGCTTCTTGGGACGATGAACATGTTTTCATCTGGCTCGCGCCGTAATATTACCTTCCCTTCATAAATTGCATCCACGCCCGTGGAATATCTGTGAGGAACCAGGCTCTTCGGTGTGCAACTTGTAAATGACGTGGGTTGTACAAAATTTCCCCCGTGTATATAGATACTGCATTTATGCCTAGTCGTAGACAACACTTCAAACGCTGCCTCTGCACCACAGAACAAATGTAAGGAAGCCAGCTCGTCGTTGTGCGCTCTGTTCGACAAAAGAGAACTCCAAGGGACTCTCAGCTCGTCGTCAAAATCCAGAGCTGTTTGTACGAAAGTACTTTCACCCTCGTCTCCTGTGCCTTTCACTCTGCTAATATCTCTACAAGCTTGCTCTGCGCTCTTTTGAAGGAGAACAATAGCGGGGTCATCGATGTGCAGGTGTAGTTGCTTCAGATGCGTTGCTCTTGTGCCAAAAATCCATGGTCGCAGAATGGTTTTCATCTTTCCATTAATGACACATCGCAGTGACGTGCCTCTCTCTCCTATGTT